TTCCACACTTTTCCCTTCCACATAACTTTCTATTAATATGCTTTGATACAGCACTTTGGGAACATCCAACTTCTTTTGCAATTACCTTTTGAGGCTTTCCCTCCTTATGGAGGGTGTCAATGATGGTTTTCTGCACAACTGTTAGGTCAGCAGTCTTTCCCATGATTGTGATTCCTACTGAACCAGACTGAGAGACCATTTAAAGGCTCACGAACCCTTTGCAGGTGTTATGGCTTAATTAGCTGATTAGAGTGGGACACTTTGAGCCTAGAATATTGCACCTTTTCACAATATTCTAATTTTCTGAGATTGTGGATTTGGGGTTTTCATGAGCTGTAAGCCATAATCATCACAATCACGGCTTGAACTATCTTGCTTTGCATGTAATGAGTCTATCTCCTATATTAGTTTCACCTTTTAAGTTGCATTACTGAAATAAATGAACTTTTGCACGATATCTAATTTTTCGAGTTTCACAAGTATTTCTTGAATGATTCTCAAATCCCAATGATTAGAAATTCATTTGTTTTTTTTCAAAAAATTCCAACATGCTCGATCACTCAAATTCGATGGTCGCGTGCAAATCGGCCAATGTTGCGGTCCACTAATCGTGCGAAATTCAAACGAAAATTCTTAGTTACCATTTTCTGAAGAAAATTATTTTCGGAGTTTGACCCATGTATGCATAAGTCAGCAATATCTACACTTTTAATATGTAGATATATTGGGGGGGATATACTAATACTGAAGCACTCAGAGTCTGTTGCAGCTGTGCATGGTGGCCAATCGGCTTCTAACTTCAGCTTGTTCAATTAAGTTTTGACAATAAAACCTGGAAGCTGATTGGTTTCTATGCAGAATGCACCAGATTTTGCACGCTCCTGTTTTAGTACATCTCCCCTATTGTGTAGGTTTAATCATCATGCTATAAAATGTACTGGAAATCCACAGCACTTTTTATTACTAAATGCAGGTGGGGGTCTCTGTGCTGTGTCTTTTTCACAGCTGTTGTAAATAATCGTTATGATGTGTCTCATGTATTTATTTCATGCGGTATTACTTATTATCATGCAGTATTTTCCTGATTGCAGTATTTCAGAAAATAGTGCATTATGGTCACTAGATGGAGCTGATGATTACAGGATATAAAATACTAGACATATTACATGGATATTTGCAATGCCTGTGCAAGTGTGGAGACATACGCACAACAAAATGTGTGGGTGTATATATATATATATATGTGTGTGTGTGTGTAATATATGTATGTATGTATATGTATGTATATGTGTATATATATATGTATGTATATATATATATATATATATATATATATACATACATATATATGTATATACAGTTGCAAGAAAAAGTATGAACCCCTTGGGATTACGTGGAGTTTTGCATGAATTGGGCATAAAATGTACTCTGAACGTCATCTAAGTCACAACAATAGCAGAACACAGTCTGCTGAACATAATACTACACAAACATTAGATGTTGCCATGGTTTAATTGCACATAACATGTAAACATTCACAGTGCAGGGAGGAAAAAGTATATGAACCTTTGGACTTAATAACTGGTTGACCCTCCTTTGGCAGCAATAACCTCAACCAAACGTTTCCTGTAGTTGCAGATCAGACCTGCACAACGATCTGGAGTCATTCTGGACCACTCCTCTTCACAAAACTGTTTCAGTGTAGCAATATTCTTGGGATTTCTGGTGTGAATCGCTCTCCTAAGGTCATGCCACAGCATTTCAATCGGGTTGAGGTCAGGACTCTGACTGGGCCACTCCAGAAGGCGTATTCTGTGCTGTTGCAGCCATTGTTTTGTTGAATTACTTGCATGCTTTGGGTCATTGTCCTGTTGCATCACCCATCCTCTGCGGAGCCTCAGTTGGCGGACAGATGGTCGTATGTTTTCCTGCAAAATGTTTGGATAAACTCTGGAATTCATTTTCCCATCAATGACAACAATCCGTCCAGGCCCTGAGGCAGCAAAGCAGCCCCAAACCATGATGCTCCCTCCGCCATGTTTTACAGTGGGGATGAGGTGTTGATGTTGGTGTGCTGTGCCTTTTTTTCTCCACACATAGTGTTGTGTGTTCTTCCCAAACAACTCAATCTTGGTTCATCTGTCCACAGTATATTCTGCCAGTAGTGCTGTGGAACATCCAGGTGCTCTTTTGCAAACTTCAAAGGTGCTGCAATCTTCTTTTTGGACAGCAATGGCTTCCTCCGTGGTGTCCTCCCATGTACTCCATTCTTGTTTAATGTTTTCCTTATTGTAGATGTGTCAACAAAAATGTTAGCATGTGCCAGAGATTTCTGTAGGTCTTTAGCTGACACTCTGGGATTCTTCTTTACCTCATGCAGCATTCTGAGCTGTGCTCTTGCAGTCATTTTTACAGGACAACCACGCCTAGGGAGAGTAGCAACAGTGCTAAACTTTCTCCATTTGTAGACAGTCTGTCTTACCGTGGACACATGAACATCAAGGCTTTTGGAGATACTTTTGTAACCCTTTCCAGCTTCATGCAAGTCAACAGTTCTTGATCGTAGGTCTTCTGAGAGCTCTTTTCTGCGAGGCATGGTTCACATCAGACAGTGCTTCTTCAAACCAGTAAACCCAAAACAGGTGTGTGTTTTTTTTTAAGGGCAGGACAGCTGTCAGCAACACATACAATATCAATCACACTGATTGGAGTCAAGGTTGGCTCACTCCTGGCTCCAATTAGCTCTGGGAGAAGTCATTAAGCTAGGGCCTCACATACTTTTTCCTCCCTGCACTGTGAATGTTTACATGTTATGTGCAATTAACCATGGCAACCTCTAATGTTTGTGTAGTATTATGTTCAGCAGACTGTGTTCTTCTATTGTTGTGACTTAGATGATGTTCAGAGCACATTTTATGCCCAATTCATGCAAAACTCCACGTAATCCCAAGGGGTTCACATACTTTTTCTTGCAACTGTATATGTGTGTGTGTATGCATGTATATGTGTACATACACACATATATATATATATATCCACATACACACTATATTGCCAAAAGTATTGGGACACCGCTTCAAATCATTGGATTCAGGTGTTCCAATCACCTCCATGGCCACAGGCGTATAAAACCAAGCACCTAGGCATGCAGACTGCTTCTACAAACGTATGTGAAATAATGGGTCCCTTTTAGGAACTCAGTGAATTCAAGCGTGGTACCGTGATAGGTTGTCAGCTGTGCTATAAGTCCATCCATGAAATTTCTTTGCTACTAAATATTCCACGGTCAACTGATAGTGGTATTATAATAAAGTGGAAGCAACTGGGGAACAATAGGAACTTGTAAAATGACAGAGCGGGGTCAGCGCATGCTGAAGAACACAGCGCTCAGAAGTCACCTATTGTCTGCAGAGTCAATAGCTAAAGACCTCCAAACTTAATGTGGCTTTCAGATTAGCACAACAACAGTGCATAGAGAGCTTCATGGAATGGGTTTCCATGGGCGAGCAGCTGCATCCAAGCCTTACATCACCAAGTGCAATACAAAGTGTTGGATGCTGGAGTGACGAATCATGCTTCTCTCTCTGGCAATCCGATAGATGTGTCTGGGTTTGGCAGTTGCCAGGAGAAATGTACTTGCCTGACTGCATTGTGCCAAATGTAAAGTTTGGTGAAGGGGGGATTATGGTGTGGGGTTGTTTTTCAGGGGTTGGGCTTGGCCCCTTAGTTCCAGTGAAAGGAACTCTCAAGGTGTCAGCATGCCAAGATATTTTGGCCAATTTCATGCTCACAACTTTGTGGGAACAGTTTGGCGATGGCCCCTTCCTGTTCCAACATGACTACGCACCAGTGCACAAAGCAAGGTTCATAAAGACATGGATGAGCGAGTTTGGGGTGGAGGAACGTGACTGGCCTGCACAGAGTCCTGACCTCAACCCGATAGAATACCTTTGGGATGAATTAGAGCAGAGACTGGGAGCCAGGCCTTCTCATCTGACATCAGTGCCTGACCTCACAAATGTGCTTCTGGAAGAATGGTAAAACATTCCCATAGACACTACTAAACCTTGTGGGCAGCCTTCCCAGAAGAGTTGAAGCTGTTATAGCTGCAAAAGGTGGGCAAACTCAATATTTAACCCTATGAAGTAAGACTGGGATTCTATCAAAGTTCATGTGTGTGTGTAAAGGCAGGCATCCCAATATAGTGTGTATATATATGTGTGTGTGTGTGTGTATGTATATATATATATATGTATATATTGTAAAGGACACCAGAGATGGGTCCTGGATGGGACATATGTGTCCCATTGGTTTGAGTTGTGGTCCCTTTAAGTGGTAAAGATAAGAGACATTTTAAGAATACTCAGGGGTTCTCACTTATGCAAAGTGAGGGGTTCCAGGGTGGCCCGGTTAGAAAGAAGAAAACTGATTTGACAGTTTTCTCAGGATTGGTAAGTCCCAATATGAGACCTGGAATTCAGAGGCTTAGAGAGATTTTTGGGTAGAAAAGAGCATTCGGCCCTGATTATGAGAATTTTGGGCTTGTAAGGATTAGCCTGCTTGTGAGAGAAAACCGAAAAAAGCACAAAACTGTCAGCAGCTGTCCATGAGGGGTGAGGTTCGGCAGAACATGCTTGTGAGGAAAAGCTATATGCTGTTTATTGCTGAAACTGTTGGCTATGATGACCCCACGAAGGAGGCAGGGACTCTATAGCCCTGTTAAAGGACAGGTTTTACTGGCAAGCCAAAGGTTTTTAAAAGTCCGGAGCTTTTACAAAGTCAGCTGGCTGGTGGTCTGAAATCCCTGTAATATATATATATATATATATATATATATATATATATAATTATTAATAAATAATGAATATAGATCATAGATGCTATTTCTCTCTCCGTTATTTCTCTTTTATTGTTTCTCATTGTGTCCCAAATTTCTAGGTTCAAAGTGGGCTGCTGCCTCAATCCAAGCTAGTCATTTTCACCCAACAGGCAATATAACCATGAACAGTCTGTTTTACGCTGGACTTTTCTACTTGTCATGGACCGTTTACTCGGTGTCATCTGTGGCAATCAGTGCTGGGGACGTGGACAGTTCTAATAATGTCTTTCCATGGAACACTCTTAGGTTACCAAATTACGTAATTCCTCTGCACTATGACCTTCTTATAAACCCAAATCTAACCACACTCGCCTTCAGTGGCCTGGCTATGGTCACCATTGTTGTCACACAGCCTACCAAATCCATCATCCTGCACAGCAAACATTTGAAGATTACAAAGACTGGCATTGAGAGTAAAGTGGGAAGTAACCTGGTACAGCAAGATGTACTACTGCTGGAACATCCTGCAAGTGAGCAGATTGCACTACAACCTACCGACGCCTTGAATCCTGGGAAAAACTATACTTTGTACATTGAGTACAATGGCTACCTTTCAGAAAGCTTCCATGGGTTTTATAAAAGTACCTACAAAACTCCAGATGGAGAAGTCAGGTATATATGTGTTTCCAATTACATGCATGAGCTATTAGATGAAAAAGCAATTCTTTACTTTACTTTCCAATACATACAGTAAACTGCTGACAATATAGAAATATTCCAGTTATAAGCAATTCACTGGTGCTTGAACTCTGTCCAGTCTGTCAACTTGAAAAACAGTATTTACAACGCTGTGCTGCCATCTTGCCCTTCACATAGTTTAGAGAAGGAGAAACCAGACAGTAAGAGATGGAGATGTAGATTAACTGCCTACCTCTCACAGTCAAAAAATGCGTATCGGTAGTAGATTTTCATAGCAGATGAGAGCAATCTGCTTAGACTGCACATTATGGGAAATGAAGGAGCACTTTGAAAAAACTTAGGGAATGGAAACATTTATTTTAAAGAGACCTTGTCACCAGACCATTGATTTCAACAACAATCTTCCCATGTGATTATACAGTATGTGCATCTGACATATATTTATGTCATTTGTTTGTAAAAGCCTTCCTTGTGAAAAAATATGCAAAAGCCCTGAGACTGCTGCTGGGCTTACACCATTCTGCATTTAATGTCAGTAGCCCCAGAGGACTCAAGTCTGCTTTGCTGCCCCCCCCCCCCCCCCCAGCAACTACATAAAAAGGTTATATAGGGAGAAGAGGGGAGGGGCGTAGGAGCTAGGCCTGCACAGAGCACAGACAGTAATTAGACACTCCCAGAAGAGGGGGGGGGCTATGATATGGTAGAAAAGAGGGGAAACACTGGCTGTGCTAGGAAATTGACTCTTCTTGAAGAAATCAGATTTGGAGATGAGTGAAAAATATTTTATTAAAGGAAAATGCTGCTACATTACTAATACTTGGTTTTTCTGTTGGTGACAGGGCCTCTTTAACAAATTAATCTGCACTAATTTACAAAAAATAAGCACAGAAAGCAAGACAAAATAGAAAACAAATACCCATAGCAACTAATATTGGTTAATTATTAAGATTGTAGCTTAATAAATTGGGCTGGAGTTCCACTTTAAACTATATAGATTGGTGTTAAAACCAGCTCCAGTGTGTATAAAGTGGAATTCCTCCCCAAACGTTTTGTTTTGTTTGTTTGAGTGGTAAAGGGTTAGAACCTCTATTAAGTTTTTGTTGCTCTCCATTGGGGATATATTTTCTTGCCTCCAGTTCTGGTAACCTTTGGGGCCATTGAGAGCAAGTGACACTCAATGATATCTTTATTCTCCAAAAATAATCCATGCCAATCCACTACCTAATGGCTTTGTAATCTATATTTTATCAAATCGTTTCTTACTGTGTTTCTTTTCTGCCTCCTTGTAACATCCTCCATGAGCTCCCAAACCTCTCCTTTTTCTTCACTTCCATTTGTTTGGAGCGAGCTGGGAATGTTAGTTATACCTCTCTGTGCACACTACAAATTCCATAGTTCATAGTAAGCAAGAAAGTGTGGCTATGTTTGTACATACAGTGGGACCATGGAGAACAAATGTAGCCACCCTTTAACAGGAAGTTGCATCACCACAGCAGGAAAAAAAAAAGGATATTGAAAGAAGCTGGGAGCAATAGAAGGTATTTTTTTAGGTCAGGAACACATGTTCAAATAGATTTTTTTTCTTAAACCACAGTTTAGTGTCACTTTAATGCCATGCAGAGTATTTTTTCTACTTGTTAGTATTGGCCCTACTCAGGGGCAGACTGAAAATTTGGCAACTCGGGCACTGCCCGAGGGCCCGGGGTCAGTAGGGGGCCCCATGAGATGCCCCTGGTACCTTTTTCATAGGCTTTTTTGAGTTTGGGCAAGGACACGGGCCCCATTATCCCCTATTGCCCGGGGGCCCCATGAGTTGTCAGTCCGTCCCTGACCCTACATACAATATAGTTCTCAGTTCCAAACTAGGAGAATTCCTAGGCTGCAGTGAATTATACACAGATTAGATCTAATTAGCCCCACTAAAATATAAACCTGTTCTCTAATGCAATTAAATGTAACAACCATAATATACTTCCTATATCAACTTTCTTCCAGAGTCCTGGCTTCAACCCAGTTTGAGCCCACAGCAGCACGGATGGCTTTCCCTTGTTTTGATGAGCCTGCCTTCAAAGCCACCTTCTCCATAAAGATACGACGAGAAGCAAGACACAGTGCTGTGTCCAATATGCCCATAGTAAGTGCATTAATGTAAATTTTAGAAGGTGTCACATGGTGAAAGACAGCTGATTGTCCCGTTTGGGCCATGCAAAGAACTATACCGTGTTCACTGGTTACCGTTCTTTAAAAGCCAGTTTGTTTCTAACGGATGCTACAGTTGTCATCACTTGCAACCATGTTTATTGGTTAAAGAGCAGTTTAACCTTGAGGCTGGTCTGAACAAAAGGCATACGTTTGTACAGTGAATTTCAATGCTTATTGGGAAAACACTAAGGCTGGATTCACACTTTGCGATTTTGAATCACAAGCAGAATTGCTGCGATCCTGCCTTCAATTCCACAACAGATGGCAGTCCCTGCACAATGCACGGTGCACATTCGGGTGCCATTATCCTTCAGTGGCACCCAAAATGCGATGTGATTCTGATTCGATGTGATTGTCTGGCAACAGGACCATGCATCAATCTTGGCAAACCGCACCTTTAAAAATCACGTGAAGCGCGTCACCCAAAAAGGAGCAAGAGCTTCTTGTTTAGGCGACAAATGGGCATAGAGCAGCCCATTCAAGTGAATAGGCTGGCCCTATGCAACACACAGAATCTTGTGAAAATTGTGCATGTTCTCGCTACCTGATAATGTGAATGGGGCCTTAGTGGCAGCACCACTTACTTCAATCAGAAATGCCAACATCTGGAATCCTGGGCACTACCATTTTGCATTTTCTCTTATGGACCCTTGCTTGGGTGGCATTGCTTGTGAGGCAGAAACCAGCATCCCAGGTCATACTGAAACCAAATGCTCTGGGGAGAGGCTCAAGCATAATAATTCTCCTCTTCTTCCAACACTTCAGGGCAGGGCACAGTGATTAGTCAAAGTGCTCATGGACAAAGCTCAGCAGAATATTGTTTGGACTCTGGTTGCTGCAAAAAGCAGGGTACGTATTTGATGTCTTCTCTGATAATGGCTGGTGACCTGGTAGGATTAGTGACTGGTTTTCTTAAGAGTTGTTTTTCATGAACCACTGACAGATACTCTGGGTTTTCTAGACACTGGTACTCCCAAGTGGCAGCCCGGGTAGACTTCTTCCTTAAATGACTTCAAAGGCTATGTCAGTTCCTGTGGTATAATGTCCACATTATCACTATACCTGGGACCTAGCATGGAGACTCTGGATAATCAGCTTGCATGCCAGACCTTTGAACCTCTGGGAGTTTCCTAAGCCACTCCAGACTGACAAGAGTAGTGACAGCAGCATTACTACTCCTGTCAGATAACGGAGCAGCAGATAGAGCTTTTCAGTGCAGCATGCTATATGTGTCACTACTAGCTGAACCCCCTACTCTGCCCAATTCCACCTCCATTCTCAAGACCCACTGATTTTCAAAAAAATTCAGAGGTATGATGATCACATGCAGGGAACAAAGGCCTTTCACACGCTGACCATGCTTAACGTTTTTGGTTAAGACAATATTGCTAGATGAATCAAGCTGAATTAGGGTCATACATTAGTTGTGGAATAGACCCAGAACAGTACATTTTCCATATACTGAAATGAAAAGGTGTACCTGTATTAAAGCGGTAGTAACCTGCAATACAATGGCATTATGTGCTAGTATGCATACTAGCACATTATGTGAAACTTACCTTAAAACGAAGCCCTCCAGCAGCGTGCTGTCGCCGGTGACAGGGCTTTCATCTACACCCGGTCCTTCATCTGGGTTCGTGGGCTCTGGCAGCTTGAATGGTCGAGCAGCGATGATGTCACTTCCACACATGTGCGCTGAAGTAATTTTTTATGGCACACAGCTCTGAAAGAACAGCACAGGCATGCCGTTCCGAGCACATGCGTCGTTGCTCATTTACAAGTAAAGATCCCCTAAACAGTGCACATTTAGGAGATCTTTACAGCACCTACAGGTAAGCCTTATTATAGGCTTACCTGTAGGTACAAGTAAAAAAAAAAACAGACTTTACTACCACTTTAAGAGTAACAGATTCTATTCACCAAAACCATAGATCAGTTATCTTCGTGGTACAAATACATCTGTTCACCACCTCAAAAATCTGGAAAACAACTTTTTGTACAGAGTATATAGGCCTCATACTATTGATTTAGTGCGGACTAAGTGTCTGGTGATTATCTGTTCCTGTCCTAATTAGTCACGCTCTGTAGTGCATGCACTTAAAGAAAACCCACACTGACACACACGAGTTCAGTCTGTGAATACTTCTAATTTATTGGAATGAAAAAGTGAGTTTATATATGCAAGATGATGCAAAAATCACGTGAGAGCAGCATTAGCATTATATTAGTCTTTGATTGGTCATTTTACACGAAAACAATCTTCCTTCAGAATATAAGCGAATCCTCTCTTAGGTCTTATCTCTAGAAAGAAATATTTTCCTTTGTTCTCAAGTTCACTCGATGGGAGGGGTTGCTGAGTAGCTATTTTTGAGTTAAGGAGGACTACAAAGACCAGCAGGCAAAAGATATACACACAACACATATATATATATATATATATTCATACAAAACATTTAGAAATATAAAAATATAAAAGTAGATATGTATAGAAAAATTTATATATTCAACAGGAAACCAAATAGGCATTTTACCATATCCATCACACTATAAGTAGTCAAATCCACAGAGCTACCGGCACCAATTATTCAGTACCTCCAGCAATTGTCTTCATGTATAATACACATTCTCCTGGCTTACCAGATTCTGGAACATTTCTCTATCCAGGTGAAGACTTTGAAACTTGATGGTGGGATCCTAGAAGACCACTTTGATGTCAGTGTGAAGATGAGCACATATCTTGTAGCATTTATTGTTTCAGACTTCAAGTCTATAAGTCAGGTGTACAAATCATGGAGTGAAGGTAAGGACTAAATTCCAGGCACAAATAAAAAAATATTTGAATGCAGTTGTTTATCCCTTTGCAATAATTAAATGTATTTGATGTACAACTAGCATGAATACCTTTGATCGGTTTTAATATCAGTCCTCTGTCATCCCTTGTACAGCATCACACACATGGGAAGAGGAATGGGCATCACTAGATGCCAATTAGGCTTTGCTGCATGCAGAAATGCTAACAGGGATCACGCTGACAAGAACAGTGAGAGAAGTGAACAGAGGATGACTTATCAATGTGTTTCTGTTCACTCATTATCAGCACTCTACTTTAGGCCTAGATGTGACACCACTGTATTCCTTTACTCTAACAAATAAAGTGGTGTCAGCCTCCTGGCTCTGTGCTTTGTCAAAGTTGTATTGAATTACAAAAGTAGCTGGGCAGAATTACAAATCTACATACTTATTTCAACCATGTATAAAGAGGTTTTCCTGACGCTCAACTTTATTTCTTCCATGTGTTGATCATTTTAAATGAGTCTTTCAGATCACTTCTTTGTCCAGCTTGCACATCCGCTATTCAATGCATGTCATACGGTATCCCCATTGCTACCTATAGGCAGGAAGGAGGAGAAACGGCCTGTGTAGGATTATTATTGATCTTTTTTGCAGCAAAAATCAGTGGAAAATCATACTAATTACTCCAGACTGGAATGCTGGGATGTTTATTATACAGTTTCCATCAAAAGCTGAAATTGCATGATAATCTTGGTTTGTATACAGTCCACTTTATAATTTGGTCTCTTTCAGTTTCAAAGAGCTGATATAATGGCATCATCTTTTATCCACTGAGAATGTGACATGGGTTGCTCTATATGTTGGAAAATCCTTGGCAGCAAATAAAACATACCAAAAGATTAAAAATAATAAGCAAGTCTGAGGAAACTTTAGAACCTCAATCTTTTAGGCTAATCTCTCATTTGAAAGTCCTGGCGAAGATCTTGAGTGTATAGATTAACTGCTGTCTTCGCTTTCTAAGACCCCTTTCACACGGGGCGGACCCATCAGCGGATCACCTTGCTCAGCAGGGGATCTCTCTGCTGATTCCCACTGAGCAAGCGGATGACAGGTCAGACACAGACAGAGCCTGCTGTCCTCTATAGGTGGTCGGATGGAAACAGACCACCTGTCCATTTCCATCCGACTGCCATCCCATCTGATCTAACAAACGGAAGGGGAATGGATCCCCATTCATCTCTTTTTGGCAGATCAGAACAGCTTGAATGTCAGCGGGTGTAAACGGACACATGTCCATTTATAACCACCGCTCCATAGAGGAGATTAGAGGTTCCAATCGGGTCTGCCTAACAAACAGGCAGGCTGACCCAATCAGAATGTCCGTGTGAAAGGGGCCTAAATGGTGAACAATTGACTCACCCTTTCTGTTGTGTGTCACATGTAGCATGGAGAAGAGAAAGAGCAACATAGAATTATCTGAGAACAAAAATTATGGAAAAACATGAACAATCTCAAGGTTTCAAGTCCATCTCCAGATATCTTAAAGTGATATTAAAGGCTTATTTTTCTTTTTTTAAATAACAGACACATCATACTTACCTGCTATGTGCAGTGGTTTTGCACAGAGCAACCCAGATCCTCCTCTTCTGGGGCCCCCTGGCCAGCGCTCATGGCCCCTCCCTCCTTTCCAGTGCTCCCACAGCAAGCAGCTTTTTCTGGGTGCACCCGCTGCTTCATGTGTCCATTCACAGACGGAGCTGCAGCTTGGCCCCGCTTCCTCTCTCTTCTCATTGGCTCACTGGCTGTGATTGACAGCAGAAGAAGCCAATGGCTCCCGCTTCTGTCTCAGCCAATGAGAAGAGGGAGTCCCGAGATTTCCGAGACTCCAGTTCACATTGCTGGATCGAAAGGCGGCTTAGGTGAGTATTCGGGGCCTGGGGATGCTGCTGAAGAGAATGTTTTTTACCTTCATACATAGAATGCATTAAGATAAAAAACCTTCAGCCTTTACAACCACTTTAATGTTTCTATGTCCACTGTGTGCAACATTGTCAATAAGTTTACAGCCCATGGCAGTATAGCTACTCTCCCTGGACGTGGACAAAAGAGAAAGATTGATCAAAGATCAACGTAGAATTGTTCAAATGGTGGATAAAGAACCAACTAATAGACACATTCAAGATGACCTTCAGGCACAGGGTACAACTGAGTCAGCCATATGTTGCCATCTGAATGAAAAGGGACGCTATGGTAGGAGACCCAGGAGGACCCCACTGCTGACACAGGAAACATAAAAAAGCCAGATTGGAGTTTGCCAAAACTTACCTGAGGAAGCCAAAATCATTTTGGGAGAATGTGCTGTGGACAAAAAAAACAAAATTACATATTTAAAGCCCATCATTCTACTGTTTTCAGAAAAAGAAATGAGACCTTTAAAGAAAAGAATAGTCCCTACAGTGAAACATGGTGGGGGTTCACTGATGTTTTGGGGTTGCTTTGCTGCTTCAGGCACTGGATGTCTTGACCATGTGCATGGCATTATGAAATCTGAAGACTACCAAAGAATTCTGGGGTGCAATGTAGGGCCCAGTATCAGAAAGGTGGGTCTCCATCAGAGATCATGGATCTTACAGTAAGACAATGACCCAAAGCACACATCAAAAAGCACCCAGAAATGGTTTCGGACAAAGTGCTGGACAGTACTGAACTGGCCGCAATGAGTCCAGATCTCAATCCCATAGAGCACCTGTGGAGAGATCTCAACACAGCAGTTAAGAAAAGGAACCGTTCCAATCTGAGAGACCTGGAGCAGTTGGCAAAGAAGGGTGGTCTGAAATTCCAGTAGAGAGTTGTAAGAAACTCATTGATGGTTTCAGAATTTGTTTTTTTTTTTCCAAGGGGTGTGCTACCAAATATGAAATTGAGGTTACCAATAATTTTGTCCAGTTCATTTTTGGGGTTTTGCATAAAATGTGTCAGATTTGGGTTTTGTTTTCTCCACTTCTTTGTGTCATACAATACAAACAAAAGAAATAAACATGAGAATGCCTAAACATTTGTAATTCCAAATATTTTCTGGGCGAAGTGGTGCATTATCTAAAAGAAATGCAGGGGTGCCAATATATTTGGCCATGACTGTATGTCATAAAACAGCCAGTCAGTGGTCTATTTTGATCAGTCTCCAGCAAGCTGTCTTAATATTGATTTATACGCTATTATTTTAATTTTTCATTGATCAACTTTTGGAAGACATTGTTATTGCTTCTATGTACAAAACAAGGTGTTGACTTACTAAAGGCAAATAGATTGTGCACATTGCAAGTGCAGTTGATCTAGTTTTCCTGAGTAAATGAAGCTTCACCTTGCAAACAATACCCAATCAGGTGCAAGAAAAATGAAAAAAGCATTTATGCTTGCACATGATTGGATGATGGCAATCAGCAGAACTTTGCCACATTTACTAAACTCTATGAAAAATGAGTGCAGCTGCAGTTGCAAAGTGCACAGACTGTTTGCCTTTAGTAAATCAACCCCAAAGAGTGTCATGTAGTTGGAAAAGAACAACAGCACATCTTTTCCCTGCGTTTCCTGACAACTTGGATATCTGAGTTAGGGAAAGATATGCAGTGCCTTGAAAAAGTATTCATACCCCTTTAAAATTTTCCATATTTTGTCTTATTACAACCAAAAACATAAATGTATTTATTGGGATTTTAAGTGATAGACCAACACAAAGTGGCACATAATTGTGAAGTGGAAGGAAAATAAATGGTTTTCAAAATTTTTTACAAATAAATATCTGAATTTCTATTCAGCCCCCTTTACCCCTATCTAAAATCTAGTGCAACAAATTGCCTTCAGAAGTCACCTAATTAGTAAATAGAGTTCACCTGTGTGTCGTTTAATCTCAGTATAAATACAGCTGTTGTGTGAAGCTCTCAGAGGTTTGTTAGAGAACTTTAGTGAACAAACAGCATCATGAAGGCAAAGGAACACACCATACAGGTCAGGGATAAAATTGTGGAGAAATTTAAAGCAGGGTTAGGTTATAAAAAAATATCCCAAGCTTTGAACATCCCACGGAGCACTGTTCAATCCATCCCCCAAAAATGGAAAGAGTATGGCACAACCACAGACCTACCAAGACATGGCCGTCCACCTAAACTGACAGGATGGACAAGGAGAGCATTAATCAGAGAAGCAGCCAAGAGGCCCATGGTAACTCTGGAGGAGCTGCAGAGATCCAAAGCTCAGGTGGGAGAATCTGTCCACAGGACAACTATTAGTCAGGCAATCTACAAATCTGGTCTTTATGGAAGAGTGGCAAGAAGAAAGCCATTGTTGAAAGAAAGCCATAAGAAGTCCTGTTTGCAGTTTACGAGAAGCCATGTGGAGGACACAGAAAAGAAGAAGGTGCTCTGGTCAGATGAGACCAAAATTGAACTTTTTGGCCTAAAAGCAAAATGCTATGTGTAGCGGAACACTTAACACTGCACATCACCCTGAACACACCATCCCCCACCGTGAAAACATGGTGGTGGCAGCTTTATGTTGTGGGGATGCTTTTCTTCAGCAGTCCCTTCAGCAGGTACAGGAAAGCTGGTCAGAGTTGATGGGAAGATGGATGTAGCCAAATACAGGGCAGTCTTAGAAGAAAACCTGTTAGAGTCTGCAAAAGACTTGAGACTGGGGCGGAGGTTCATCTTCCAGCAGGACAACAACCCTAAACATACAGCGGGGGCTACAATGGAATGAATTAGAATCAAACCATATTCATGTGTTAGAATGTCCCAGTCAAATTCCAGACCTAAATCCAATTGAGAATCTGTGGCAAGACTTGAAAATTGCTGTTCACAGATGCCCTCCATCCAATAGCTTTGAAAGAAGAATGGGCAAAAATGTCCCTCTCTAGATGTGCAAAGCTGGTAGAGACATCCCCAAAAAGACTTGCAGGTGTAATTGCAGCGAAAGGTGGTTCTACAAATCAGGGGGGCTGAATACAAATGCACCCCACACTTTTCAGATATTTATTTGTAAAAAATTGTGAAAACCATGTATCATTTTCCTTCCACTTAACTAATTATGTGCCACTTTGTGTTGGTCTATCACATAAAATCCCAATAAAATACATTGATGTTTTTGGTTGTAACTTGACAAAATGTAGAAAATTTCAAGGGGTATGAATACTTTTTCAAGGCACTGCATTTATCCAGTTATGCAAGAAAACAATTGATTTCATTGAAAGAAATGAGAACCTGAAGTACACATGAATTCCGGTCACCAATGCAGTTTCAAAATGTGTAAGAAATGACCTGTATGTAGAGGAAATTCAGGACATTTTTACTTATGTTTTCTACTTCTTCTATTGCCTGTACAGATCACTGGCAATGTCCTGCTATAAAAGCTAGTACTGCACTGTGTAGGGAAGACATGTCCTGAGCACTGTCATATGGATGGATAGGAGCAGTTAGCATGGACAATAGAGAGTACCTATTGTACAGCAGAGGATGGGGGTTGGTTTTATTACAGGTCCACTTTAAAGCATCTCTTTACATTCCTGATCCAATCAAATCTGCTTTTTCATTTGCCTACCATGACCCTATGATAACTGCTGTGGGCACCAGGATGTTTCTGTATTGGAGCCATGTTATAGTCGACAGTCAGAAAGGTATTCATACGTATGTTTAATTAGGATAGCTCTTGTGTAACATTTGCTCATCTAGAGGTGCTGGAGGGATACGGCCAATAGCTGTCACAGGGCTTAGAGCAGGGGTGGGCAAACTTTTTGACTTGAGGGCCGCAATGGGTTCTTATATTGGACCGGACTAGCTGCTGGCCGGCCCAGCCACTACCATGCCATCCATAGTAAGTATAGTAATATTCCCCATAGTAAGCATAGTAATTAATCCCCCATATAGTAATTCATCCCCCATATAGTAATTCATCCCCCATAGTAATTCATCCCCCATATAGTAATTCATCCCCCATAGTAATTAATCCCCCATATAGTAATTCATCCCCCATAGTAATTCATCCCCCATAGTAATTCATCCCCCATATAGTAATTCATCCCCCATAGTAATTCATCCCCCATATAGTAATTCATCCCCCATATAGTAATTCATCCCCCATAGTAATTAATCCCCCATATAGTAATTCATCCCCCATATAGTAATTCATCCCCCATATAGTAATTCATCCCCCCTATAGTAATTCATCCCCCCTATAGTAATTCATCCCCCATATAGTAATTCATCCCCAATATAGTAATTCATCCCCCATATAGTAATTCATCCCCCATATAGTAATTCATCCCCCATAGTAATTCATCCCCCATAGTAATTCATCCCCCATAGTAATTCATCCCCCATAGTAATTCATCCCCCATAGTAATTCATCCCCCATAGTAATTCATCCCCCCTATAGTAATTCATCCCCCTGTGTCAATTCACTTACCTTTGCTCCGCGCGTTCCTCTCGCCGTGTTCCCGCACCGTTCCGGTCTTCAGGGCGGACTGTGAGGGGAGCCTAGCTCCCCTCACGTTCATCACGCTGCCCCGCCTACACACATCCTGACAGCCAATCACTGGCTATCAGGATGTGAGTGGCAGCGAGACTGGCCAATCATTGCATTTGAGCGCGCTGCCCTGGCTGTTTTTTTTTTTTGTATCACGCCCCGCGGGCCGGATTAAAAGGTCCGCCGGGCCGTATACGGCCCGCGGGCCGTAGTTTGCCCATTGCTGGCTTAGAGGGTACTTCCAATCAGCTTTTCCTATAGTCAGCATTGACTGGCTGCTATGTGCTGTATAATGGAGCAGAAAGCATGTTTTGTTTAACAATACCAAGTGCTGGAAAAAAGCACAATCCTTATTTTTGTGTTCATAATGTTTTTATTCTTTTTTTACGTTTTGACAAAACACCAGAAAACAACTAATTGATGGAGAACAATTCTTTTTGTTATTACTATGAGAAAAGGTTCACTTAAATATATTTTTTGGTGTAAATTTGTCATGTAAATGCTTCATTTTAGAATTATATGAGCTGTAAGAACTACAAATGGTATAGATAAATGTATTTTTGTTTCTGCAGCTTGAGACTTTTTTTTTCTTTAAAGTGTTACTAAACCCAGGACCCAGTATTCACTATATCAGGTCTCTCACAGTACACAAAACATGGAAATACAATTATTTTAGTAAATATAAACTGCTAAATACCTTTTCTCATCAGCAGTTAGAGCAGTCTTGCGGCTTCTATCAGTGTCCAGCAGAGCACTGGTTAAAGCTTGTAGGAGGTGTTTTCTCTAGGAGGGTGCAAAACCCCTGACCTTTGTTTGGACAGTGCTGATTGGCCCTGTGCAGATCACATGCACTCTCCCAAGAAAAAAAAACTCTAGCAATACACACTAAACTGAGCATGTGCAGAATGGCTACTGTTCAGTATGTCTTATCAGGAGATAAGATGTGAACATTTGAACAAGAGGAGGAGAGAAGTCAGGATCAAGCGGCCTTTTTACACAATGCAGAGGATTAACCCCTTAGGTTCCACAGTGAGTATAACAAGCATGCTTTACTGCATCTGCAGACTGATTTTACTGTTGTGGGTTTAGTAACACTTTAACCCCTTGTCTACCAAGGAACATCAGATGGGATTTTTGTCACTTCTGGGTTCACAGCTGTCATTCCCCAGCCACAGCGGCGATCTGTGCTTGATTATCTACAGTGGAGGGCAGGTAATACATTGGGGGTCTAATAGACGCCTGATGTCTTATAAAGAGAACCTGCCACCTGCCCATGAACACATAGGGGGCTTGTGATAGCAATAAAAAAAAAAAAGTTTTACAATTTATAATAAAAAAAAATTGTAAAACACTCTCATCACCCCTTGTGCACACTTCATTGCGAATGTAGGCTTAGGGTGCTCACATGTATAAAAACATTAACTGCGTCTGCGCCATAAGTTGATATAACATTGGAATGAGAGAAATAATTCAAGGCCATAATTCATGGGTAACTCTAAACTGATAACCTGTAAAGGTTTTTAAAAAAGCGTACCTTATTGACAATTTTGAATACCATAATTTTGCGATTTAATGAGCAGATGCGATTTTAAGGCTTGCCATGTTTGGTATCTATATAAATGATGCAGTCCCATCTTTTATTTGAATTTGGTAATCTATTGTATTTGTATGCACTGAAATTAATTTTAGTGTATTTTTTCCTGAAACTATGCATTTGATAACAGTTGTGATAATTTTTTTAAAATTCTCACCATTTGTTTCTACAGGGCCTCTGCTTTCAGAAAATTTTAATTGTTTAAGGGTATAAAGGAATTTCTAGCAAAAATTGGTAATTTTAACGTGTGCAAAAAAATGAATAAACTGCCCTGGTAGAAAAGTGGTCACATCGCAGGTAAAAAACTAAATGTATTTATGTTTTATATGATTTTTCTGCTTTTGTTTTAGATATCAGTTTACACCGTTCCCCACAGGATAGAGCAGGCTACGTACGCTTTAGACGCAGCAGTAAAACTTCTGGACTTTTTTGAAGAATATTTCCGTATTCCATATCCATTGCCAAAACAAGGTACTGTGTTTCCGGCTGGTGTGAGAATCTTTTCTAAGGTTGGTAGCAGGGGCGAACTGACAACTCATGGGGCCCCCAGGCAATAGGGGATCATGGGGCCCCTGTGTCTTTGCCCACACTTAAATCACACCCAAAAAAGCTTATGAAAGGTACCAGGGGCATCTCATGGGGCCCCCTACTGACCCTGGGCCCTCAGGCAGTGCCCGAGTTCCCAAATGGTCAGTCCGCCCCTGGTTGGTAGTATGTATTGCTAATGTTGATAATGGACTGTTCTTTGTTTTAAAGATCTTGCTGCGATTCCTGACTTCCAGTCCGGTGCAATGGAAAACTGGGGCTTAACAACATACCGAGAGTCCTCATTACTGTATGACCTAAAGACATCCACAGCCTCTAGTAAACTATGGATCACAATGGTCATTGCTCATGAACTGGCACACCAGGTGGGTAGGGAATGAGCTACAAAGTTATTTGTTGATTATGTAAACCAGCTGCTGAAAAACTTGTCCGAAAGCTTTTGATCAATATCATTTTATATATATATGGGTTGATTTAATAAAGGCAGCAAGATTGTTTGCTTTGCAAGAGAAGTTGCACTTTGCAATGGAATTTCTCAGAGCTTAGAATGAGCTGAAGCTCTACTGACTTCCTTCAATTCAATCATGTGCAAGCAAAATGCTTTTTATTTTCTTTGCATGTGATTGGGTATTCTTTGCAAAGTAAAATTTCACCACATTCACTAAGTTCTGGAGCACATTCCCTTGCAAAGTGCAACTTCCCTTCTAAACTGAACAGCCTATTTGCTGTTTTAGGAAATCAATCCTATATTGTTCCATTAGCTTCTTGTCTGTTTTGAAATGCCATCTTTATTTTTACTCTGTCCAACTGACACCCATAATTATCCTGTTCATATTTCTAAAGCATTTAGTGCCAGTCACACCGGTGCGATTTGCTAATTGAAATCGCACCTGAAATCGCATCTAGTGAATGTCAGTGTCTTAGCATGCGATTTGCTGCAGCACGATTTCTAAAGTAGTTCTTGCATTACTTTTTCTACAATTTTGTTGCGATTTCACATACAGTGGGGATCGAAAGTTTGGGCACCCAAGCTAAAAATTTGTATTAATGTGTATAAAGAAGCCAAGGAAAGATGGAAAAATCTCCAAAAGGCATCAAATTACAGATTAGACATTCTTATAATATGTCAACAAAAGTTAGATTTTATTTCCATCATTTACACTTTCAAAATAACAGAAAACAAAAAAATGGCGTCTGCAAAAGTTTGGGCACCCTGCAGAATTTATAGCATGCACTGCCCTCTTTGCAAAGCTGAGACCTGCCAGTGTCATGGATTGTTCTCAATCATCGTCTGGGCAGACCAGGTGATGTCAATCTCAAAGGTTTTAAATGCCCAGACTCATCTGACCTTGCCCCAACAATCAGCACCATGGGTTCTTCTAAGCAGTTGTCTAGAAAACTGAAACTGAAAATAGTTGACGCTCACAAAGCTGGAGAAGGCTATAAGAAGATAGCAAAGCGTTTTCAGATGTCAATATCCTCTGTTCGGAATGTAATTAAGAAATGGCAGTCATCAGGAACAGTGGAAGTTAAAGCAAGATCTGGAAGACCAAGAAAAATATCAGACAGAACAGCTTGCAGGATTGTGAGAAAAACAATTCAAAACCCACGTTTGACTGCACGATCCCTCCAGAAAGATCTGGCAGACACTGGAGTTGTGGTACACTATTCCACTATAAAAAGATACTTGTACAAATATGGTCTTCATGGAAGAGTCATCAGAAGAAAACCTCTTCTACGTCCTCACCACAAAAATCATCGTTTGAACTTTGCAAATGAACATATAGACAAGCCTGATGCATTTTGGAAACAAGTTCTGTGGACCGATGAGGTTAAAATTGAACTTTTTGGCCGGAATGAGCAAAGGTACGTTTGGAGAAGAAGGGTCACAGAATTTAATGAAAAGAACCTCTGTCCAACTGTTAAGCATGGGGTTGGATCAATCATGCTTGGGGTTGTGTTGCAGCCAGTGGCACAGGGAACATCTCACGAGTAGAAGAAAAAATGGATTCAATAAAATTTCAGCAAATTTTGGATGGTAACTTGATGCCATCTGTGAAAAAGCTGAAGTTAAAGAGAGGATGGCTTCTACAAATGGATAATGATCCTAAACACACCTCGAAATCCACGGGGGATTACATCAAGAGGCGTAAACTGAAGGTTTTGCCATGGCCTTCACAATCTCCTGACCTCAACATAATTGAAAATCTATGGATAGACCTTAAAAGAGCAGTGCGTGACAGACAGCCCAGAAATCTGAAAGAACTGGAAGACTTTTGTAAGGAAGAATGGGCAAAGATACCTCAAACAAGAATGAAAGACTCTTGGCTGGCTACAAAAAGCGTTTACAAGCTGTGATACTTGCCAAAGGGGGCAGTACAAGATATTAACTCTGCAGGGTGCCCAAACTTTTGCAGACACCATTTTTTTGTTTTCTGTTATTTTGAAAGTGTAAATGATGGAAATAAAATCTAACTTTTGTTGACATATTATAAGAATGTCTAATCTGTAATTTGATGCCTTTTGGAGATTTTTCCATCTTTCCTTGGCTTCTTTATGCACATTAATACAAATTTTTAGCTGGGGTGCCCAAACTTTCGATCCCCACTGTACATAGAATATAATGGAAATCGCACTGCAAAATGCAAGAAATCTTCACAAGTAGCAATAAAATCTTCAGAAATCGCACCTGAAATCGCTCTGAAATTGCACACAAATTGCACGATTTTTAAATCACAGCAGTGTGACCGGTGACTTATAGAACCCTTACCTATCCTCTATAACTTTGAACAGCTAATGTTGTCAATTGCATTTCTGCTGAGTCTCTTTCTGATCCTTTAAACTTTGGTGTGGATGATGCACAACAGTTTTCTTAGAGGGCCAGCATCTAAATAAGAAACTTAACTCTCCAAAATGACTACTAATAACCAGAAATGTAGACATTTAAGTTCTATGGTTTAAATACTTTTCTAGTGACTAGTATGTTTCAATATTTAGTTACAGAGATCATGAATGTATTTACACTGTGGGTCCAATCTTCCCCTTCTATGGGGTCAGTGCAGTTATCCTCTTAGGTGCTGGGATTTACTGTGGGCCTCTATCCAAATATACAGTTTTACCGGATGATAATACTGTGGTACCTCTGTTTACCTACGCCTCGGTTAATGTATTTTTCCATTTTAGGAATGAAAATCCATTGAAAATAATGCCTCGGTTTACAAATTTTTTTCACAATATGAAGCAAGTTTCCCCAGGATGCATTGCGCCTGGGAGGTTTCTAGTGCCGCGCATGCTGGAGTCTGTGGGTAGCACGTGGTGTCGAGTTTGGAGGTGTTTGCATCGAGTGCACTTTATAAAGAGTTTTGAACAGATAAAAGATGTTTTTTTTACTTTTTTCTGACCTCCGGAATGGATTAATTGATTTTCAATGCATTCCTATGGGAAACTGTGTTTTGGTTTACAAATTTTTTGCAATACGAAATGTCCCGGAGAACGCATTAAATTCGTAAACCGAGGTACCACTATATTTCAACCCTATAAAACCACCAATCCATCCCCTGAAAGAATACTTGTATATCCAGATGGTCAAGGCAGTCATTTTTAGATTTTATCTACAGGTGCTTCACAGGTAATGCAGGTCCAAAGCAGCCTTTTGTACATTAATTGTGTGATTGTACGATGCACTGCAGTTGAATTTTAAAGCCTGACTTCTTGACAAACACTCATGTGCCCAAGCCCTTTTTAAACAGTGTGAAATAGTTCATTGTCTGCAAGCTCTGTGTCTTGTAGGTATACGTTCTTGCTAATCATATCAGTGACTTTACTTTCCTCAGTGGTTTGGGAACTTGGTGACAATGGACTGGTGGAACGATTTGTGGCTGAATGAAGGGTTTGCCAAGTTTATGGAGTATATCGCTGTCAACATCACCTATCCTGAGCTACAAGTTGTAAGTTCCACACCGATGAGCTCAGCTCACCAATGTGCATGACTGGACTTCTCCAATGTTGTAGGCATTTATCCAATATGTCCTTAAAAGAGAAGTATGGGAATTAGTTTTATTTTTTTTTTTAAATCATACCTACCTAAGTGGATTCAGCATCGGTCCAATGCTGCATCTGTCCCCCGCCAGCTCTAAGTGTGAGAACTCGGTGATCACATTACTGCTGATCGCTGATTTCTTACAGCCACTCTGAGCAGAGAGCGGTGACTGTCAGTCATCGCTCTCTGCTCTGTCCCCCCCCAGAGCTCAGTGGAGTGCTGGGTTGTGGAGGGGAAGGGAGTGGCTGGCTCAGGCTCTCAGCGATCGCTGAGAGGCTGAGCCAGGTGCCGCTCTAGACTCTGGGGTGGATCCCGACTTTAAAGTCAGGATCTTTCCCCAGGCTGGACCAGCTGAGTGACATCAGCCGACAGTGGGCTTCAGCCCACTAGCAGCTGAAAACGGGTCACAGGAGTGCAAATTGAACTGCAAACTGCAAACAAGCTTTGGCTATACTTCTCCTTTAAGCAGAAACTTTTATCATTCGCCTATCTGTTATGGAGTTTTTATTGACCTCTCTAAAATGACTTGGGCAATGTGAAGCAAGCTATCTGTCTGATGCTGGATAGTCAGATACCATAATGGGCTTGATCTGACTGTATTAAAAAGGCATGGAAATGTCTAACCATTTTATTTATGTCTTTTGTACTTGAATACTATTAAGTGGCACATAGTGGTTTAATTAAACAAATTAGATGTGAAAATATCCCAGCATTCACCCCATACCGAATAAATACTAAGGACACTAATATAATGTATATGCTGTACCTAGAGATACAGAAGGCCATTGTTGGTATTTAGGGTTTTGATACCTTGTCATCACAGTCATTAAAGGCTAAGTTCACAAAAAAAAAATAATAAATGCACATTTTTGCAGCTAAAAAATGTGCATTTGTTTTTATTTTTTCATAGAAGCCTGCAGAGCAGATAAGCAGATCATGGGTGCAATGCCAGGCTCCTGCAGACTGTACTGTACAGCTGTCTGCTCATACTTCCATTTCGGGCAGCCAGTTGCTGAAGACCAAGAAGGTTAATGAACTATAACAGTGTTCATCAGCGCCTTCACAGTTCATTAAGAACTACAAGCCATCTGCCTCAGTGGCAGACGGGAATTGTATTTAATTTATTCACAGAACTCTGTGAATGAATAATAAGCTTGTGTGGAGGAAGGGGAGTGTCAGGGTTGTGGAGGAAGGTTGTTGAACATGTTACATGTTCAGTGGCATATCATCCATGGGTGCAGGGTGTTCACTGAAGACGGGCCCCAAGGGGGGCCCTCTGTGCTCCAACAGACACTGCACCCATGGATGATACATGTCATGGACAGTGTCAGAACTACCAGCAGGGCTGATGGGGGGGTACCACTGGTCATCCTGTGTCTCTCCCTGCAGCAGTTGAAAGCTGGTTTCTCTCCCCCCTGCTGGACTTTAGCTGCAGGGAGAGACGCAGACACATGGCATTTTGATTTGTATTTGCCCCCTCCCTCTGCAGTGTCTCCCTCTGCTGACATCTGTGTAGAGGTTTGTCGGATTCTCTATGGAGGAGAAGCGGGGCCCTGAAAGGGGCTTTGGAACATCCAGCACTGAAGGTGATTTCTATGGGCAAAGAGGGAGAAGGCTGCTGGCTGCAGAAGGGTGAGAGGAGTGGATGGGGGGATTCTATGTGCAATGGAGTGAGAGGAGCAGAGAGCTGTGGGAGTGATGAGATATTCTAGGTGCAGGGGGTGGTTTTAAGGTGTAGAACGGTGAGCTGTGGATGTGGGGGTGTTCTAGGTGCACACCCACCGTAATACACTCTGTACCCCTCCCCTGCACATAGTACCCACCACACTCCATACCCCTCTCCCTGCACATACTACCCACCACACTCCATACCCCTCTCCCTGCACATACTATCCACTGCCCTGCACTCTGTACCCCTCTCCCTTAACTTACAACCCATCGCCATACTCTCCGTACCCCTTTCCTACACATAATACTCACTGCCATGCACTCCGTACCCCTCTCCCTGCATATACTATCCACTGCCCTGCACTCTGTACCCCTCTCCCTTAACTTACTACCCATCGCCATACTCTTCGTACTCCTTTCCTGCACATACTACTCCCTGCCATACACTCCGTACCCCTCTCCCTGCACATACCACCCAACGTCATACACTCTGTACCCCTCTCCCTTCACATACATACTACCCACTGCCATACACTCCGTACCCCTCTCCATGCACATACTACCCATCGTCATACACTCTGTACCCCTCTCCCTGCACATACTACCCATCATCATACAGTCTGTACCCCTCTCCCTGCACATACTACCCATCGTCATACACTCCATACCACTCTCCCTGCACATACCACCCATCGTCATACACTCTGTACCCCTCTGCCTTCAGATACATACTACTCACTGCCATACACTCCGTACCCCTCTCCCTGCACATACTACCCATTGTCATACACTCTGTACTCCTCTCCCTGCACATACCACCCATCGTCATATACTCTGTACCCCTCTCCCTTCACATACATACTACCCACTGCCATACACTCCGTACCCCTCTCCATGCACATACTACCCATCGTCATACACTCTGTACCCCTCTCCCTGCACATACTACCCATCGTCATACACTCTGTACCCCTCTCCCTGCACATACTACCCATCGTCATACACTCCGTACCCCTCTCCTTGCACATACTATCCACCACCATACACTCCGTATCCCTCTCCCTGCGCATACTACCCACCACACTCTGTACCCCTCTCCCTGCACATTCTACTCATGTCCATACACTCCATACCCCTCTCCTTGCATATACTACCCATCACCATACACTTTGCACTCCTCTCCCTGTACATTCTACCCACCACCATACACCCTGTACCCCTCCTGCACATGCTACCCACCACCATACACTCCACACTCCTCTCCCTGCACATACTACTAACTGCCATCCTCTCTGTACCCCTCCCTGCACATACTACTCACCACTATACACTCTGTTTCCCCTCCCTGCACATACTATCACTGGCATACACTCTGTACTCCTCTCCTGCACATACAACCCACCGCCGTACACGCTACACTGTACATTCTCTATTTAACATTATCACATTCTGCGCTATGTAAGTCATATCAGATTCTATTTAACCATACTCTCTTTAAGCTGTGCCCAATATTTAGTGCAATTTAAACCATGGCCACGTTTTATCACGTCTCGCCTCGTGCTATTTTTGTTAATGCCTAGGGCCCACATTTGATCATGCACATGGGCCCACTGATTTCATGATATGCTCCTGTAAATGTTACACCCTAAACACGGGTGTAACATGTCCAGAAAGGTGAATTTATCCTTTAAGTGAGGCAGAGTCAATGCTGAGACTAAATGGAACTATTCAAGTAGGCTGCGTCTAATGAAGAAATAAATGTTTTATCAGATTGTGTACTGCATTAACTGTGAGTTATATGTGATAACTTAAATGTTAAAGTGTTATTGTTGTTTCCCACAGGAAGACAAATTCTTAGACAAATGTTTCCGCGCCATGGAGGTAGACTCACTGAATTCGTCCCATGCAGTGTCCACACCTGTAGTGAACACTGAACAGATACATGAGATGTTTGATGAGGTTTCCTATGATAAGGTAATAAATGATCAGTTACCTATGACTTGTTACAGGTGTGTCATTATTTCATCTGGAACCATTATGTTGTGCTAACTTGACTTTGAACCCCGGTTCACACCGGTGTGATTTGTCATGGGACTTGACAGATCAAAGTTGCACGACAAGTTGCACCCTATTGCCAGCTATAGAACTGTTCAAATTGGTGCAACTCCAATATGCACCGACTTTGAAAATGGTTCCTGCACTATTTTTTGTGATTTCATGTGCGACTTGCATTGACATGAAGTCACACAGATGTCAGCATGCTGCACATTGAATGACCAATCTGTTTACAAGTCTATACTATAAAAGTTAAATAACAGTCTGTAAATTGCACCAATTTGTAATTATAAACTACATGATGGAACAGCACTTCCAATTGTAATTCTCCCTTCTTTACAGATGTTGTCAACTCTCTTTTGGAGATAGATATTTGAATTATAATTAATCAGTTAATGCTATTAATAGGAGATCATACAGTTCTGCAATGGCCAGCCAGTGCAGATTGGATAGCTGACAACTGCCTATTTGGATTTCAGGTAGATCCGTCCAGAAGAGTAGAACATAAAACTCATGCAGCTTATATAAGGACATCAGGAAAAGTCCTATGTTATAAGAGAGCCAGTTGTTTTACCTTGTCTTCTTTGTGTCCCAAAACTGATGATTGATTGACAAGAAAGTTGTTATTACATTTGTGTCTATTTGTGTTTCAATATAAATGATATCTTGTATAATAATATTTTTCAGGGTGCTTGTATCTTGAATATGCTGCAGGACTACATTGGTGCTGAAAGTTTTGAAACTGGGATCATAAATTACCTACGACGTTTCAGTTATCGCAATGCCCAAAATAAAGACTTATGGGACAGTATGACTGATGTAAGTTCACTAGATTTTCTCTTGAATTCCATTCTAAACTAAAATGGTCCCAAACAAATCTTTGGCTGCCAGACATTGAACACATCATGACAATCAAATATTGAAAACATGCTTATGGTTGCAACATCTTAAATGAAAGAATCGGCCCCTCTAGTAAATGAAAAGATGATCTAGTAGCCATAGACCCACAGGGAGCCATAATGGTACCTATTCATTTCCCCTTACAACAGCAATAAAGAAAAGAAAATGATTCTCAAATATAATAAATTATTAGAAAGCACAAAAAAATGTACATATATGTACAATTAAGCAAATAGGAAACACAGACAGGGTATTCCTGCACATGTTTGCAGAATAATTATTATTATTATTTGGATTATACAGGATTTATATTGTGATAACAGTTTGTGCAGCAATTTAAAATATAAAGGGAGACAATACGATTACAACATAGTTCAATACAGAAGGAATAGGAGGGCCCTGCTCGTGGAGCTTACAATCTAAAGTGACATCACTGATAGGGGGACTTTTTTTTTTCAGCGACACCTCCGACTTAGCTGCATTTTCCTCCTTCCAGTGACACTACTGACTTAGGAACATTTTTCCTTCTAGTGAAACCACTAACTGGTGGTACTGTTTTATTGCATGCTACACGCATTTTGGTGTGTACTGCCATTGGCCCTGTCCCCTTCCCCTTGGGGTGCCTGATAGGCGACAGGTTGTGGGGTGGTTGGGTGTTGGTGGGGGTATATAGTGTAAATATAGCCCAATATCATAGAGCCATTTATTCATATATAGCTGTTTCAGGCTTCTTGCCATTATCAGTGCAGTGTATGGAAAGCATGGCTTCTATGCACTAGGGCTTGGGACCTGTATGAGAACACTGTATCAAGGAATATATAAAATTGAAACATTTCCATGTGAATGCTATTGTAAAATGGTTCAGCTACTGTACAACACTGTGGTGAACTTGTAGTATCTTTACTGTACAGGGAGAAGTATTACTTGTGCAGATAATTGATATTACCAGACTCTTTATTAACATTTCATGGTTGGTTAAACTGGCTTATGTGTGCGGTCTGTGTTATAATTGTCAGATTTGCCCTTCGGAAGGAACAGCCAGTGGGAATAAGGAAGAAATTGGATTCTGCAAGAAGAAAAACCAAAAATCTGTAAGTTTAGCATTTTGTAATCTTGTCAGTCTGTACATGTATATGTTCAGTATATGTGTAATGTGTTATTTTCTCCCGTGCTCTATTAAAAAAAATACATGACAGACTGCCTCATCACAGACCCCTCCCCATCACTGACTGACCCATCACAAACCAACCTATCACAGACCCCCCACCCTCATCTCAGACGGCCCATCACAGACTGTCCTATCACAGAACCCCCTACCCATCACATACCGTCCCATCACAGACCCCCTTATCACAGACCATCTCATCACAGACCGTCCCATCACAGATCATCCCATCATGGATCCCCCACACCCATCACAGACCATCCCATTACAGATCGTCCCATCACAGAATGTCCAGTCACAGACCGCCCCCTCACAGACTGCCCCCTCACAGACTGCCCCCTCACAGACTGCCCCACAGACTCCCCCTCACAGACTGCCCCCTCACAGACCGCCCCCTCACAGACTGTCTCCTGGAATCTCCTCCATGCTCTTGAGACTGTACTGGGAGACACAGCAAACCTTCTGCCAATGGCATGTATTGCTGTGCCTCGCTGGAGGAGTTGGACTGCCTGTGCAACCTCTGTAGGGTCCAGGTATTGTCTCATGCTACCAGTAGTGACACTGACCCTAGCCAAATGCAAAACTAGTGAAAAACAGTCAGAAAAGATGAGCAGGGAAAAAAATGTCAGTGGCCTCCATCTGTAAAACCATTCTTGTTTTGGGGGTTATTTCATTGTTGCCCATCTAGTGCACCTGTTGTTAATTTCATTAACACCAAAGCAGCTGAAACTGATTTACAACCCCCTCTGCTACTTAACTAACCAGATCAATATCCCAGGAGTTTAATTGATTTGATGCTATATTCTGATTAAAAAGTGTTGCTTTTATTTTTTTTTTAGCAGTGTACTTTATTTTGGGCGCATTGACCTGCATTTTACAATACAGTGCACATTAAAATATACACTGGGGCAAAAATCATATTTAGTACATCTCTGCAATGCATGCTACATTTAGCAGTGATCTATCGCCATAAAAACACTGCAAGTACAGAAAATCATTTGTTGCTAAATCCAGCGGGCTTCTATCTTCCTGTTTGGATTGACAACACAGTGCTTTTGCAAAACTGAAATCCCAACAAATGTTGTCAGCCCTGCCTAATATCTCCTCTGCTGAATTACAGAATGTCACCAATCCCCAACCCTATCTGTTACTCTCCACGTGCATACATTGATTTCTTTTCCAGCAAAAGCAAGAGCATGCCCAAATACTTTAGATAGGGAAAGGGTTCTGGGGGTGCCTGTATCTCTGAGAACGAAGCTCCCAGCAGCTGTAAAAGTTTACAAGCCTAGTGATTATGTCATAAAGAGTAATACAATCTGTTTCTAGGTATAGGAACAAAGTAAAGGGAAAAATAATGCTGGCACATGTTTTAGAAGAGGGGAAAGAGGAAAGTTTGGGGATAAAGTTGGGTAATGCCTGGATATACACTTTAATGTATGTCAATGCAACACGCATATCTGGAGTGAACATGGTCTTATTTGTTATGATGATAAATGTAATTACAACTGTAATCAGGTCCCATGATGAGGATATGTTAAAACTGAGCTCATGTTTAACTTTAAATAGTTCATTTGGACCAAGCTGGTTCAACATTCTCCAAAGACATGCTAGTAGGTTATTTGGATCCAGTCTAAATTTGTCCCTAGTATGTGTATGTATGAATGTGAGTTAGGGACCTTAGATTGTACACCCCTTGAGGGTTAGGGACTGATGTGAATGTACTATATATATATATGTAAAGCGCTGTGTAAATTGATGGCGCTATATAAGTACCTGAAATAAATAAAAATAACATGCTATTTACTCAACAGTTGCAGCGGCTGTGTGTACTTTCTGAACAGTATCTAGCCTCAGCTCCATACAATATACAGCGCTGTGCTGTGGTAGTGTGGTGGGAGCTTCCTGCCCTGCTCCTGGGACAAATCTGAGTCTATTAATGAATTTAAAGCTTCCTCTGCTTGGCTAAGGCAGAGAGGCCGGCTGATGATTTCAAACTCTGCCCCAGCCATTCAAAGGAAGCATTCTGTCTGAATCAATTTTGTTCTGGGAGAGGGACAGGAAGTTCTCATCCAACTGCCAGAACATAGCACCGTACACTGTATGTAGCTGAAGCTGCATACAGCTTATACAGCACGCTCAGCTGCTGCAACTGTTAGTGGAGTAAATAGTTTGTTTGGACCAGCTTGGTCCAAACAAATTATTTAAAGTTAAATGAAACATGGAGATTAGCTTTAATAAACATCACCCCCTTTGAGAACCATCAACACTTGGTACGACTGGTGGCTTTCATCGCTGTTTGTTACTGACCGCTCCAGTTCTCGCTGACAATTGGGAACCAGTCTGCAAATGGCCCTGCTGATTCCACTGCAGCCTGAAGATAGCATTGTCCCTCTGTTTAATACTGTAATTATCAGGTACAATTAAAGTATTAACAAAAAGCTATCTGATAATTAAAATATAGCTTATAGTAAAAACAAAGCAGGGTTTTTATTTAAACAGAGTACCAAATAAAAGCCATATATGTTTTTAAAAATATATAAAAATTGTTTAAATAATTAGTCTGCACAGGATTTTTTCCATCTTTTTTTTTACCATCAAAATCAAGACTCTAAGAGGTGGCTCTTCCCGAATAGGTTGTCCTTAAGCATTATTCAAACTGCACATTTTTTAGGGGTATATTTGGAGACATGGCTGCTGATGATTGAATAATTTCAGAATGTATGAACATTTAACCCAGCTGTAAAAACAGTAACCAGGATATATCAGCTGCCCCATGTTTTCAGAAACTCTAAATATTGCCTGTAGTGACTAATGAGAGCCTTCATTTCATGTTCAAAGGCTGAAAATAATAACACATGGAATCTGGTTGCCACGAGCAATACAGAGACTTGAAATGTGTTACTTCACATGCTGGAGGGTTGTGTCATTCACCTTAGCAGTCATTCAAGCTTTTATTTGTGAAAGTTTCCAACCTTCGAACAGGCTTTTTTATTGCAGGACATACTGTGGCAAATAGATGCAAACAATATTTATTTATGTGCTCCACTACCCTTTTTACTGGTGTGTCTTGGAAGACACAAGTCAATGCCCAACCACAGGAGAGGAGTAAGTGTAGGATCAGCATTCCTACATGCAATACCAAAAATTTCTATTTTAATCAGTATTCAAAATGTGGTCTGTTATGGCATGTGCGTACATGTGCGTACATGTGTGTGTATGTGTATGTATATTTGTACAACGCCAATTCCATAAAATATGCCGTGTAATATCTACATAAAAAACAATACACATGAGGGAATGATACGTTTTATTTTGTCTCAGTTTGATTATTTTGTGAATGTTTTCTACCATTATTTGCGATATGTTGCCACTTAAGTATCTGCCCTTCGCTCCTCACAGGACCTCCTACTCTCTAGCTCCCTGGTCTCCTCCTCCCACCCCCGATTGCAGGACTTCTCTAGGACTTCCCCCATCCTCTCGAACTCCCTACCCCAATCCAGCAGACTGTCACCTACCCTCCTCACCTTCAGGCGCACCCTGAAAACCCTCCTCTTCAGGGAAGCCTACCCCAACCTCACCTAACACCTGACCTCACCTAACAACTAACCTCCTCCACTCCTCCCACCACTCCATGCCCCACAGCCATCTCTTCCTGTACCACCTTCCCCTCCCTCCTAGATTGTAAGCTCGAAAGAGCAGGGCCCTCGAACCCCTCGTGTATCGTATTGTTACTGTCTTGTCTCATGTTCTGTCCCCCTTGCTACTGTACAGCGCTGAGCATACCCTTTGGCGCTATATAAATACTGTATAATAATAATAATAATGTCAAGGTTCTAGTAATCTTATGTGCTACCTTTAATACAAATTATTATGGAAAAAAAAAAACAATGCAATGATTTGCAAATCTTATAAACTAAAAGTTTAGATCAGTGGCATGACTGTGTATAAAAAAGGCTTCTTAGAGTGCCAGAGGGGGAGATTTACTAAAACTGGTGCACTCAGAATCTGGTGCAGCTGTGCATAGTAACCAGTCAGCTTCTAACTTCAGCTTGTTCAATGAAGCTTTGACAATAAAACCTGGAAGCTGATTGGTTTCTATGCAGAGCTGCACCAGATTCTGTGTAAATTTCTCTCCTACAAGTAAAGATTGGCAGAGGTTCACCATTCTGTGAAAAGCTGCGTCTATAAATTGTTGAACAATTTCAGAATAATAGTTTGCCGTTCCATCCAAAAATGCAAGGTAAAGCTCTATCATGCACAGAAGAAGCCATATCTGAATGTGATCCAGAAATTCCACCATCTTCTCTGGGTGAAAGCTTATTTATAATGGTCTGTTGCAAAGTGGAGAACTGTTCTGTGGTTAGATGAATCAAAATTCAACATTTTTTTTTGCCAACCATGGGCTGCAGGCTGCAACTATAGAGGAAGGGACCTTCCAGCTTATTGTCCGCATTCAGTTCAAGCCTGCATCTCTGATGGTAAGGGGGTGCATTAGTGTATATCAAACAGGGGATTCTACACCATAAGACAATTGCAAACTGTTCTTCCAGCTATTCCTTGTTAGTACCATTTACTTTTTCCAGCTTTTTGTTGCCCTGTTCCAACATTTTTGAGACGTGTTGCTGCCACTGATTGCAAAATTACCTTATTGTTTTCTTAAAATGGTCCTTTTTCTCAGTTTAAACATTTGATATGTTTTCTATGTTCTATGGGTTATATGGGTTTTTTTTGGGAGATTTGCAAACCATTGCATTCTGTTTATGTAGATTTTACACAACGTCCCAACTTTTTGGGAATTGGGGTTCTATACAGTGGGGCAAAAATGTATTTAGTCAGCCACCAATTGTGCAAGTTCTCCCACTTAAAAAGATGAGAGAGGCCTGTAATTGGCATCATAGGTAGACCTCAACTATGACAGACAAAATGAGAAAAAAAATCCAGACAATCACATTGGCTGATTTGGAAACAATTTATTTGCAAATTATGGTGAAAAATAAGTATTTGGTCAATATCAAAAGTTCATCTCAATACTTTGTTATATATCCTTTGTTGGCAATGACAGAGGTCAAACGTTTCTTGTAAGTTTTCACAAGGTTGGCACACACTGTTGCTGGTATGTTGGCCCATTCCTCCATGCAGATCTCCTCTAGAGCAGTGATGTTTTGGGGCTGTCGCTGGGCAACACGGACTTTCAACTCCCTCCAAAGGTTTTCTATGGGGTTGAGATCTGGAGACTGGCTAGGCCACTCCAGGACCTTGAAATGCTTCTTACGAAGCCACTCCTTTGTTGCCCGGGCGGTATGTTTGGGATCATTGTCATGTTGGAAGACCCAGCCACGTTTCATCTTCAATGCCCTTGCTGATGGAAGGAGGTTTGCACTCAAAATCTCACGATACATGGCCCCATTCATTCTGTCCTGTACATGGATCAGTCGTCTTGGTCCCTTTGTGGAGAAACAGCCCCAAAGCATGATGTTGCCACCCCCATGCTTCACAGTAGGTATGGTGTTCTTTGGATGCAACTCAGCATTCTCTCTCCTCCAAACACGACGAGTTGTGTTTCTACCAAACAGTTCTATTTTGGTTTCATCTGACCATATGACATTCTCCCAATCCTCTTCTGGATCATCCAAATGCTCTCTAGCAAACTTCAGACGGGCCCGGACATGTACTGGCTTAAGCAGGGGGAGACGTCTGGCACTGCAGGATCTGAGTCCCTGGCGGCGTAGTGTGTTACTGATGGTAGCCTTTGTTACGTTGGTCCCGGCTCTCTGCAGGTCATTCACTAGGTCCCCCCGTGTGGTCTGGGATTTTTGCTCACCGTTCTTGTGATCATTTTGACCCCACGGGGTGAGATCTTACGTTGAGCCCCAGATCGAGGGAGATTATCAGTGGTCTTGTATGTCTTCCATTTTCTAATTATTGCTCCCACAGTTGATTTGTTCACACCAAGCTGCTTGCCTATTGCAGATTCAGTCTTCCCAGCCTGGTGCAGGTCTACAATTTTGTTTCTGGTGTCCTTCGACAGCTGTTTGGTCTTCACCATAGTGGAGTTTAGAGTGTGACTGTTTGAGGTTGTGGACAGGTGTCTTTTATACTGATAACAAGTTCAAACAGGTGCCATTGATACAGGTAATGAGTGCAGGACAGAGGAGCCTCTTAAAGAAGAAGGTACAGGTCTGTGAGAGCCAGAAATCTTGCTTGTTTGTAGATGACCAAATACTTATTTTCCACCATAATTTGCAAATAAATTCTTTCCAAATCAGCCAATGTGATTGTCTGGATTTTTTTTTCTCATTTTGTCTCTCATAGCTGAGGTCTACCTATGATGCCAATTACAGGCCTCTCTCATCTTTTTAAGTGGGAGAACTTGCACAATTGGTGGCTGACTAAATACTTTTTTGCCCCACTGTATATACTTGGTGAGCTTGTGCCTCAGAGCACTTTCATTGAAGACAGACTTCCCAAGCTGGGACTTTTTACTGTGGAAGCCACTTTTCCCTGGTAAAGTCAAATTATTAAACTGGCAACACAATATAATCTGGACTGTTCAGATAACTTTTAGACTTTCCAGTATCTATATAGTGCACAGTCTACTTGATATACAGATAGAAGTTGTTCATGTAGGCCCTTGCACTGCATAGCTGTTGGTAGCTCTAAAAGACATTCTTCATATATTGGCATGTATTGTACTGTCAGATTGTTATTTCTATGGCTAGTGGAAGTTTACTTCAATCTCTGTTGGCTGGATTTCCTCAGCTTCTGTTGTTGGGGCACACTGGTAGAAAAAACATGGAAGTTTGTTTTCACTGGATATCCCCCTAATTCTGTGTTTATGTTCCAGCACTGGACAGAGGACAGTATCATTGATGTAAGGGCAATGATGAACACATGGACTCTCCAGAAAGGTTTCCCATTGGTTACTGTCACAGTGAAAGGAAAGCGGGTCTATCTACAACAGGAACATTATCAGAAAGGTGCCAAAGACCCAGAATCTGCTGAGTAAGTTAAACACTCACACTGGAACCTGTTCATAATGTAAGCACAGCCATGGCATTGTGCTTACAGTCATATCAGTCACAGGAGGAAACAAAATGTGTGAAGTTTTCCATAGCAACCAATTAAATGTTTGCTTAAAGTGTTATTAAACCCACAACATTAAAATCAGTCTGTATATGCAGTAAAGCATGCTTGTTATACTCACTGTGGAACATCAGGGGTTAATCCTCTGCATTGTGTAAAATACTGTTTGATCCTGATTTCTCTGATCCTCCCCTTCTTTTAGTCCCCCCTCTTATCTCCTGATAAGACATATCATGTGGAGTCGCTCTGCACATGCTCAGTTTGGTGTGTATTGCTAGAGAGTATTTTTTTTCTTGGGAGGGTGCATGTGATCAGCACAGGGCCAATCAGCATTGTCCAGACAGAGGTCAGGAGTTGTGCATCCTCCTAGAGCGAAATGAAAATTCCTCCTACATGCTTTAACCAGTGCTGGGCTGGACACTGATAGAAGTCACAAGACTGCTCTAACTGCTGATGAGAAAAGGTATTCAGTTTGTATTTACTAAAACAATTGCACTTCCATGTTCTGTGTACTGTGGGAGACCAGATATAGTGAATGCAGGGTCCTGGGTTTAGTAACACTTTACATTTTCTTTGCATACTTTAGTGGAAGGACAGATGTAACCTGACTGTGTAACACCTTCACTCTACTTTGCCAGTTGTTTTTATAGTCATACTCAGTGCCTTGAGATATTACAATGAATTGTGTTCTGAAAACTGAAATGTAGACCAGACATGTACCAGAATCTAAATCTGTGTACTGAGAAATCTGCCAGATTTACTGATAAACCTTCTCCTGTGTACCACCAACCTACACTGCTATCACTTGCTGCAATCCCATTTATATGTTGGGCCCCTTGGCAACATAACAGACATTTCCAGTCTATGGGTTAACCTCAGCGTCTCTGCATGACTGCCTCTGCTGTCAGTAAAGTGAGTATATTCTCTAAGGATTCATTTCTGCACTTGATTCCTGCTAATAACAACTACAGGGAGGTGAGGTACAACCAGTGCTTCATATTCAATACAGTCTGTTGTTTAATTGACAATATGTACTATTTCCAATCTTAGTGTAACAAATGTTCAGTATTATTTTGTTATCTTAGGTTGTTGTGGCATATTCCATTGACATACTTGACTAGTAAAACAAGCAAAGTTCAAAGATTTCTTCTAAAAAGCAAGACAGGTGAGTTTCAAATTTGAAGAAATTATGGTGTTGTTAAAATGATGTAAAAGTTATATTTTCTATTTCTTTTTACTAACTTTGGAATATTGATATTATTGAAAAAAGAGAAGTTGTCAAATACAACCAGCCAGGATATATCTAGTGTAGTAATGAACCAATACTATCCCAGCCATGTTGACCTGACCAAAAAACATGGACTCATCAGCACAAACATGAGATGTCTGGGTTTGATTTTGGCCGGAATATTGTCTTGTACAGTCTTAAGGGATGCCAAGTTTTTGTTGAAATCTAGCTTTAGCTGAGGTGATAGATGGGTGGCTGTTCTGCAGCTTTTAACCTAAAATACATCTGTTTCCAAAAGGCATCAGTATCATTATATAGTTGTTATACAGTCATTTTTCATTTGCAGGTTTTTAAGGCATTTTAAATTCTCTGGCTTATTGTAAAGCAGAACCTAGGGAAAAATAATAAAATAATAATAAAAAGATAAAAAGCAACATTTTCTGTAATATTCAATCAATATCAACCCATACTCCAGACAGAGCTATCCCTCACAGTATTTCTTTTCTGCCACTTAGTCTGATGGGCAGCATTATTCAACCCAATTTCACGGAGTTCAGGCTGCCATAGACCTGACCCAGTGCGGATGAGAGAGGGAAATGTGGGGAGCGCTGGAACACAGTCCTGGGCAACACCGGAATGCAATCACAGGATGTGTGGGATCAGATGAAGCAAAGCACAAATTAGGACAAAGTAGTTAAAGCATATCATAGGGGACACTGGTAAAAGAATATTCCAACAAGACAATTAGTTCATAATTCATACATAAAAGTCTATATGAAAGTCCATAAGGGCTGTAAGGTAGATAGCTGCCAGCTGTGAGAGATGAGGCTTCTCTGTGGAAATGGATACAAATGGAAAAAACAGCAGCGCTAATCTGAGTATAGTATTTAAACAGCTTGGTTTAATCAATGCAATAAAAGACTTACAAGAAATGAATTAGAACTCGCCATGAATACAAATAGCTTCTCAGACTAAGTGCACCTTGAGTACTGTGAGCATAGAGGTCTGCAGATCATTCGGCCACACTGGTGGCGTCCAGGACTCCAAGAGATCCGAAGCCGACAACCGTGATGTCACTGGAAGCTGAATTCGGGAGCAGGATCTCTGATTGGCGTGTGTTCAGAGCATGCACACTCCTTCCTCAGACCCTAAGATTAGCCATTTTGAGTGTGGCTTATAAGGGCAACTCAGGCGGGCGGACTACACAGACCAGCTGGTCTGCACATAAATATAAGTTTTCATATAAAAGATGATGTCACAAAAGGTATTTTCAAAAAATAAATTTTCATAAAAAAGGACGATTTCATTAAAAAGGGGGAAAGGGCTGTTTGCGTGACAGACCATAAGGGTCCTTTTCCCATCAGCAGTTAGAGCAGTCTTGTGACTTCTATCAGTGTCCAGCTGAGCATTGGTTAATCTTGTAGGAGGAGTTTTTGTTCTCCTCTGACTGTCCTGTGAGGCTGCATGACCCCTGACCCTCTGTCTGGACAATGCTGATTGGTCCTGTGCTCAACATCTTATGGCCTGAGGAAGGAGTGCGCATGCTCCAAACGCACGCTAATCAGTGATCCTGCTTCCCACTTCCAGTGACGTCATGGCTGTCGGCTTCAGATCTCTTGGAATCCTGGACACCACCAGTGCGGCCAAACGATCTGTGGACCTCCACGCTTACAGTACCCAAGGCGGCCTTAGTCTGAGAAGCCATTTGTATTCATTGCAAGTTATAATTCATTTCTTGTGAGTCTTTTTATTGCATTGATTAAACCAAGCTGTTTAAATACTACACTCAGATTAGCGCTGCTGTTTTTCCATTTATAGACCTGACCCAACCTGTGACTGGACATTGAAAGGAAAAGCAGTACAGTGATTATCTCTCTGTCACTTGGGTTTTTCTCTGCTCCCTTGTCAACATGGTTATTGTCAGCACATGGATTGGTTGACTTCTTGTACTGCTTCTTCCTATTACACTAGAGCATTGTTGTGCAGAGTCTTCAGGAGACTGATACTAGATCAAATTCAGATGCTTACAATACTTGCATTAATAAAAAAAAAAAAACAACAAATCTCTGTATGTACTAATGACTACAGAGCTGCATCCATTTGTGTCTTTTATATCTGCCTGTGTTTTAGCATGTTTTACTTACAGGTTCTCTTTAAAGCTGGTTTCCTAGCTGTCGTGCTGACCCAGCTTGCCTCAACACTTTGCACCTCAATTCATTTTACATGTTGAACAATCCATTAGGAATATCCAAATATTTCCTAGTGCACTGGGAGAAAATAGACTCCATGGCAGAGGATGGCATATCTAAATCTGACATTTTCCCAGTCTAGCACCAACAGATAATTTAAACACAGAAGTGATAACCCATACCTAGAATATTATGGTGTTTGTCATGCAGGTTGTATTTTTTTTTAAGTTATCATGAAATATTGAGTTTATACATTACATGCTGCATAGCCCATAGGAGGACATACCAGATGCACTCAGTGACCAGGCCGTGCCAGAGTTATACAAACTATATTAAATAACAAATTAAAAAATTGGCATCACCAAGAGTTTTTTCTTTTTTGGAACCACTTTTATTGTCCTTATAGTTGCAATTTTAAACACATAGCTGTGTGTATTGGGAATGGGAATTGCCATTGACACTCTTGTGTTGTTCAGTCGTGTTCCCATGTTGCAATGCCTAAATACAGCATGCTGTACAGTATATAATATTGTCACAGATAAGATGTAAAGCTGAGTTGTTACCTTGTAGCCCTACAAACATGTAGACTACTTCTACAGTACCTTGTTATGAACTGTTACCTGCAGTCCTATTGACTGATGGTCTGTTCTCACCCGACTCTCTTGTTTTTGGTTTGGCAGCCTTGGGTGTTGCTCAAGTCCACCTGTTGTCGGCAAATCTGTGACAGATATATGAGCGGGGCAAGGTAAATCTTGCCCTCAAGTTGGATTGGTTTATGATGGCCCCACTTTAAATATTATATACAAATTCTAGCTAGTGGGGTCCTGTCATTAGGGAAAAGCTAGAGACCAGTGTTCTCATTTATTATCCAACAACCATAATCGAAGTCCATTAGCTAAAGACAATGTAATGCAAGTAGCTATTATAATTCTACAGTGAACTATACATTCCTTTTAATGAACTGGATTGCATTTGCTTTGTAGATGTGCTGTTCTTGGAAGAAGAGGCAGAGTGGATAAAATTCAATGTAGGAATGAATGGCTACTATATTGTTCATTATGAAGGTGATGGATGGGATGCGTTGATAAAACTCTTGCAGGAAAACCATACAGCTTTGAGCAGCAATGACCGTGCCAGCCTAATCAACAATGCTTTCCAGCTTGTCAGGTAAATGACAGTCTAGACGCTCATATGCATCCAGTTATAAAAAGTGATTATGCTGGTTAAAATTTGTTTGATTAAATTGTACAATGTACAATACTAGCTGATACCCATTTCTGATTCCTGCTGATTTGATGGTTGATTCATTTCATGTATGTGATGTCTGTGCAGACATTTCCTCTGTAGTGTGCATGCATGGACAAGACAAAGATGAGCCTGTGTCATGGTTTTAATGAGCCGAAGGACCTGATTTTAATAGGGGCTTCTTAGAAAATGATGAATATTTTTGTTAGCGGGCCCATTGCAGGACTTTAAAACAAACTATTGCACTACAAACCTAGTATCATCAAGAAAAATAACTTAAAAGCCTAATCTGAAAAGGTATAGCATGCAGAGGAGACCATCTTAAAGGGTGTAAATAAGGATCTAGGTAAATGTGGTAGCTATACATTTGCTTTGTTCTGCCAGAGGGTGGATTGTGGTTGTCAGAATACACTGATCAGTGGCTGCAGCCGCTGATCGACAAAAGTTTTTCAACTTGTTCATGCGATAGGGATGGCCACATATTGATTCAAATTCTGCTGGCCCCTGATGACCCGGCCAAATTTTGATCTGCTTATGGACAACTCTACTGTAAAAAAGAGGTAGAGACACTGACATCAAACGCTGGAGAAAATCAGATATGTTGCAACTGGCAGCCAATCACATCATATCAAGAAAGTAAAATTTACAAATCTAATCAGCTGCTGCTGACAATGCAGATATTTTCATTCTCAAGTATTTGAAATTTGGTCCATTGCCTTTACCTGTTTACCCCTTTTAGGGCTGTTCAGCTAGTAAGATTGTAGGAATTTGGTCATTCACTTTGTTCCTTCCTGTAATCGCAGACATCAGCAGACTGTTGTGGGGCAAATCTATAGGTACACGACAACAGGTCTTTGAATGGTAGTAATAATTTAGAACTGTAAAAGAAGAGTTCTAGCTGCATGTTAAGAAATATTGTTGGTAATACATTAAACGTTAATGTAGTGATGTCATATACTTTGGACCATTAGTAAACCTGTACCACCGCTGAGTAAATATTACATCTGTAATATTTCTCTTCTTACTCAGTATTGGACTTCTACCAATTGACAAAGCTCTTAGTCTGACCACATATCTGAGAAAGGAGGATAAGATCATGCCAGTCTTCCAGGGGATGGACGAGCTGATCCCTATATATAAACTGATGGAAAAGAGAGACATGAAGGAGATTGAAGAGCAAATGAAGGTAAACCCAGGAAAAGAAAGACTACACGTTCTATAAAATGTTGTGTTTGTTGCAAGGTTATTCTTACTGATATACGTTTGCATTGTTCCCTTCCTGTAGGCTTATATATTAAATCTTTTGCGTGATCTCATTGACATTCAATCCTGGACAGATGATGGCACAGTATCACAGAGGATGCTTCGCAGCTCCCTACTACTCTTCGCATGTTTCCGCAAGTACCAGCCATGTGTAGAGAAGGCCAAGGATTATTTCACTAAATGGCAGGAATCCAATGGTACCATGAGGTCTGTCATATGTACAAATTAATTTTTTCTGTTTCTTGTAGAATAATATTCATTCACATTAGTTGGTTCTTTTCTCATTTATAAAGACAGTAATCAAGCCATATACAGTGAAGGAAATAAGTATCTGATCCCCTGCTGATTTTGAATGTTTGCCCACTCACAAAGAAATGATCAGTCTAAAAATCAAATGGTAGGTGTATTGTAACACTGAGAGACAGAATAGCAACAAAAATTCAAAAGAAATGCATGTCTAACAAATTATGTACTGATTTGCATGTTCATGAGGGAAATAAGTATTTGATCCTCTTCACAAAACATGACTTAGTACTTGGTGGCAAATCCCTTGTTGGCAATCACAGAGGTCAGACGTTTCCTGTAGTTGGCCACCAGGTTTGCACACACCTCAGGAGGGATTTTGGCCCACTCCTCTTGGCAGATCCTCTCCAAGTCATTAAGGTTTGGTGGCTGACGTTTGGCAACTCAAACTTTCAGCTCCCTCCACAGATTTTCAATCGGATTAAGGTCTGGAGACTGGCTAGGCCACTCCAGGACCTTAATGTGCTTCTTCTTGAGCCACTCCTTTGTTGCCTTGGCCGTGTGTTTTGGGTCATTGTCATGCTGGAACACCCATCCATGACCCATTTTCAATACCCTGGCTGAGGCAAGAAGGTTCTCACCCAAGATTTGACGGTACATTGCCCCATCCATTGTCCCTTTGATGCTGTGCAGTTGTCCTGTCCCCTTAGCAGAAAAACACCCCCAAAGCAGAATGTTTCCACCACCATGTTTGACAGTTGGGATGGTGTTCTTGGGGTCATAGGCAGCATTCCTCCTCCTCCAAACACGGCGAGTTGAGTTGATGCCAAAGAGCTTGATTTTGGTCTCATCTGACCACAACACTTTCAACCAGTCCTCCTCTGCATCATTCAGATGTTCAGTGGCAAACTTCAGATGGGCCTGGACATTTGCTTTCTTGAGCAGAGGGACCTTGCGGGCACTGCAGGATTTCAATCCTTGTCGGTGTAGTGTGTTACCAATTGTTTTTTTGGTGACTGTGGTCCCAGCTGCCTGGAGATCATTGACAAGATCCTCACGTGTAGTTATGGGATGATTCCTCACTGTTCTCATGATCATTGACACTCCACGAGGTGAGATCTTGCATGGTGCACCAGACCTAGGGAGACTGACAGTTGTTTTGTTTTTCTTCCATTTGTGAATGATTTCACCAACTGTTATCACCTTCTCACCAAGCTTCTTGGCAATAGTTTGGTAGCCCAGTCCAGCCTTGTGTAGGTCTACAATCTTGTCCCTGACATCCTTGGACAGCTCTTTGGTCTTTGCCATGGTGGAGAGTTTTGAATATGATTGTTTGATTGCTCCTGTGGATAGGTGTCTGTTATATGCAGGTAACAAAATTAGATTAGCAGCACTCCCTTTAAGAGACAGCTTCTAATCTCAGCTTGATACCTGTATGAAAGACACCTGGTAGCCAGAAATCATGCTGAATGATATGGGATCAAATACTTATTTCCCTCATGAACATCCAAATCAGTGCATTATTTGTTAGACATCATTTCTTTTAAATTTTTTCTTGCTATTCTGCCTCTGAGTGTTACAATACACCTACCATTCGATTTTTAGACTGATCATTTCTTTGTGAGTGGGCAAACATTCAAAATCAGAAGGGGATGAAATACTTATTTCCTTCACTGTACTACTAAGATAATAATGATTGTAGCACATTGAGTTGTTGAGTACATTGGGTTTAGCTGCTGTGGCAATGCAGTGATTTAGTTGGGTATTAGAATATACCCTGTTAAAGACATGTGAAGCCTTGACCTTGCCATATGCACAAGGACACACAGTGTCAAATCCTAGTGTATTCGGGCCCAAAGGAGGCAAAGGCACTGTGTCCAGCCCTGCTGCCAGCAGCCTGTCAAAATCTTGGATAAGCTGAAATATGCAACAGTTGGACACTGTACTGAGCAGTTCTTGCATTTAGGGCCATATGCACATCTGGGACAAATGTCCCCGAATGTATACTAAATGCAAGCACTGCTCTGTACTTTGAGCCTCCCTGTGCCTCTTGGCACCCAAAAATACTGGAATTTGAGGCCGATGGACCAAACTGCCAGCGTTCATGTACCTTACCTCTTCCATCCCCCATTGTTAGTAGTGGGGTTAGTGAGGCACAAAACTAGACTATAGAATAATAACCATTTTGAGTTGTGTGATTGAAGTGAAAGCTGCTCTCCAACTCAAACCTAATGCTCAGTCTCTACAGCATTCAGGAATGCTTCATTTTTCAAACAAGTTGTGCCTTGTAAGGGTAATCTAATAAAGTATTTGGGGAATGGCTTTTTTTACAGTGGTTTGTAACCTTTTTCTTTGTTCACACTGCTTTTAAAGCAAAAGAATTCCGTTCTTGAAGGTATCTCTAAGGGCAAGATGTAATGGAGTGTTGGTCATATCATTATAAACGCTTAGAAGCATTGAGAAAAGTAACATAGTCTAACCAAAATTACATCTGAAAGAGTAATTCCAATTTATTTTGGATTTGTTGAAGTTCATTTCGATTCGTAACAAAACAAATCGCACATGTCTACTCGCAAGTGCTGGGAGCTGGAGACATATACTCGCTATCAAAGCATCTGTGTCCTTGCCGGCTGTGGTGACGGGCAACTGTGTGCCAAGGGATAGAGAGCGCCTTGGCCGACATCACAGCTAGTGTTGCAGAGCACCTAGGGGTATTGAATTAAAATTCAAGGAGGTCCGGTCACTAAAATTTTCTTCTGGCCGAGGTCCGAATAGGGTGTGCCCATCAGTATGCCCCTTACATTAAGTGTCGCCATCAGAGTGCAACTTTACATCATGTATTCCCATCACATCAGGTGTGCCCATCAGCGTGCCCCTTTACATCAGGTATCCCCATCACATTGCCACCTTACATCAGGTATTCCCGTCAGAGTGCCCCTTACACTCAAAGTACCCCTTTCTATCATATTTCCCCATCAGAGTGCCCCTTTACATCATATTCCCCATCAGAGTGCCCCTTTCCACAGTACGTGCCCATTTGTACCCCTTAACATAAAATGGGCCCATCAGAGTTACCTTTAACATAAAATGTGCTATTCAGAGTGTCCCTTATTAGAAATGTGCCCATCAAAGTGCCCCTTAACATAAAATGTGCCCATCAGAGTGCCCCTTAACATAAAATGTGCCCATCAGAGTGCCCCTTAACATAAAATGTGCCCGTCAGAGTGCCTCTGAACATACAATAAGGGGGCATGCTGATGGGCATATTTTATGTTAAGGGGCACTCTGATGAGCACATTTATAATAAGGGGCACTCTGATGAACACATTTTATGTTAAGGGGCACTCTGATGGGCACATTCTATGTTGTGCCCATCAGAGTGCTCCTTAACATTCAATGTGCCCATCGGAGTGCCCCTAAATGTAAAATGTGCCCATCAGAGTGTCCCTTAACCTAAAATAAGGAGCATGCTGATGGCCACATTTTATGTTAAGGGGCACTCTGATGGGCACATTTCTATTAAGGGGCACTCTGATGGGCACATTTTATGTTAAGGGGCACTCTTATGAGCACATTTCTATTAAGGGGCACTCTGATGGGCACATTTTATGTTAAGGGGCACTCTGATTGGCACATTTTTATTAAGGGGCACTCTGATGAGCACATTTATTTTAATGGGCACTCTGATGGGCACATTTTATGTTAAGGGGCACTCTCATGGGCACATTTCTATTAAGGGGCACTCTGATGGGTACATTCTATGCTGTACCCATCAGAGTGCCCCTTAACATTGAATGTGCCCATCAGAGTGCCCCTGTAAGAATACACCCTACCTTGAGGGCAGGCAGAAGCTGTGCCGGGGTTCTTGCTGGACGCTTTTGTATAGGCAGGGAGGGGGAGCCGGAGAGATAGTGAGCTGAAAGGTGCGGGGCGCACTTGTGATGTCATGTTGCCATGACGCTCGCCCTGCTCAGCGGCGGATCTGTCATTGCGAGCTGGTGGTCTGGGCGGCAGTGCTGCTGGGGTCGTTCGCGGACCGTGGTCCACCATTTAGTGACCGCTGTCCTACATGTACTTTGTCCTATCAGGAAGTCAATAATGTACAAAAAATAAAGTGGTAATTATTCTTTAAGGGCTCATTTACACAAGCAGTGCTGAGTGGCATAGCCCAATGTAATCTCAACATAAGGACAAGGTAAATATCCTTTTTTCTGTGGAGTACCTTAAAACCAGTGCTCTGCGTTGGTGTGTGTTAAAAATAATCAAAGAGGATGTATTTTTGCACATAGCCTTATGTTGCCATGTGCTGCAGAGAATGGTAAAGGTACAGAAGTCCAAAAAGAAGAAAAAAAGAGTAAAACAATGCGCTGCAACACTTTACATTGCAGCACAATGTAGTATAAAAATATGCTTTGGCTAATGCATGTGCTATTATGTGAACGAACCCTTAGATCTCTTGTTGAGTTCAAACATGGTGGTGGAAACATTCTGCTTTGGGGGTGTTTTTTTCTGCTAAGGGACAGGACAACTGCACCGCATCAAAATGGACATCATCCATTCATGAATTCTATTTTCTGTTGAACGCCCCTTCTCCCATGAAGTACATCACAGAAAAAATACACATTTTCGAGTATGACCATGATTTTTTTTATTTTAAACTACTAGAGTTATTCTAAATACAAAATAGCTATTTAATCTTGCAACTTGGTGCATTCTGGTTATTGTGGTCGGGTCCTTCTTTCAGAGCAGAGCTTCAGCTGACAGGTCCCAGTGGCAGCATGAGTAGTACAGAGTAGTGAGAGGTTTGACTCCTATAAATGTCTTAGAGGCTTAAAGTGTATCTTTGTTCCAAATGTAAAATCATATATTCATTTCCACATTGCATTTCAATTATTTCTACGCTAGTCCACTCATATTAATCTGAATGATCTTGAAATCTGTAAACTTACTTTGTGAAGATCCCCACACATAGCTGCTTGAATTCTATGGCACGTATTCACTATGCCCTGTGAGTAGGCGCTGCTGTGTCACACATTTCACAGAGCCTGCCTTCTGAACTGCAAAGGTGCTCAGAGGAGGAGTTTCAGGAGGCGGAGTCAGTACAGAAATCACTGCTTGCAGGCAGCAAGGTATCATGGGATATGTAGTCCTTAGAGATTGTAGTAAACAGCAGAGGAGAAACTGCAAAGCATGCAGGAAATCCAGGAAGTTGTGGCCAGCAGACAGACAGACAGAACTCACAACATAAAAGGAGATTTTTCAAATCGGTTTATATGGGGGTTGTCAAAAATAACTATTGTTTGTATTGCTATTAAAATGCTGTTATAGACTTAAACTACTGTATATGCTGTAAGCATGGAAACTCCTTTAAAATTGAATTCCAGGTATGCATATTGCATACCTGGCTGGTCCCTGTGGAAGTGGAGTAGCCACAGCTACTTCAGTAATCCTCTGTCTTCTGGATCCCGTGCTGAGTGCCTGTCCTGCTACTGTACATAGTAAGCACGGGGGTCGCTCACTCAGCACTGGCACCATTCAGAGAATGCCTTTCTCAATGAATTTAAAGGTTCTGTGATTGGATGAAGTGGGGACTGTGACATCACCACCCCTCCTCTGCATCAGAGAGCGTTTAATTAAGAAAATTCACAAGGATCAGCAAGGTATAGAATATACATACTTACATAGGTCATAAAATGTCACTGCTGGTATTCATGCACACATTACTTTAAATAGCTATTCTATAAGCCACATCCTATAATGTCACTATTAATTTAATAATGACCATTTGATGAAAAAACTTTGCACTTTTCCAATGTTTTTTAACTTTGTACTGTAATGTTTCTTTTCTTAGTCTGCCACGTGATATTGTTGTGGCTGTCTATGCCATCGGAGCCCAGACACCTGAGGGATGGGACTTCTTGTTTGAGAAATATAAAACCTATCCAACTGGTGAAATGCATCTGATTGAATATGCCTTGACTCTTACTCAGGATAAGGACAAGCTACAATGGTAATGACCAGAGAACTAATGCAGCACAATGCAGTCACAAACTAGTGAAAACTAGAAGACCGCACTTATAAAACCTGATACAAGGGAGCTTGATTTTTTAAAAAGAAGTCAAGTTTGGCTCTTTGGGCTCTTTCACACGGCCGTTCCATATGTCTGTTTTTCATCTGTACGTTTACGGATGAAAAATGGACATCCATGTATTTCTATGAAATGTAAAAAGGAAGTCCTCCTGTGCTCCACAGAGTAACTACACAAAGCCAGCTGCTATCATCTAAACCCTATACCACGGGACAAAATGATATCTAAAAATGGATGAAGCGCTCAGCAATGAGGGTACTAAACATGTTAATACTAAATAAATATAATTGCAAAATATATAACTTTTTATAAAAGTGACTAGTGCTCAAATGTATAAAATTGTGTTCAAACCAAGCAAACTATCAGTCTGCCCACCCAGTCGCTAAAACTGGTGACAAGTGTACACACTATGTGTATAGAAAGTGACACGTGCTATATAAACTATATATGTATTTCTATGGACTAGTGGATGTAAACGGTTGATCATCTGTTTACATCCGTTAATGTCCAGATCCATTAACATTAGAGATGAGCGAATTATTCAAAAATTCGATTCGGCTGATTCGCCGAATTCGCGGAATAAATTTGATTCGAGGCGAATATATTCGCTGCGAATTTAACTTATAAAAAGGGTGTTTCTAGGCTTCAGAGAGCCTTTATATTAGTGTAGAACACTGTACCTTTAATTTAAATGCCCTTGGAGTCTGCTGGGGAAGAGAAATAATACTGACAGTCAGTATGACATGCAGATGAGTGCCGTCGATCTTAGAATCACCGCACACTTCACTCATTTGGGCAGTCACGGGGGCCAAACCCAGAGTGTGGAGCCACAGTGTGGCGGTGGAGGCAGCAGCAATACAGCACCCTATGACAAAATGGAACCCACCAGCAGTGTGAGGAGACCTGAAAGTGGCACATGGCAGAGTGTGGCGATGGAGAAGCAGCAATGGGAGGCCGTACAGGGACCCATGACACACTCTGGACCTGGCAGCAGCATGAGGAGGCGGTACAGGGGCCCATGACAGATAACGGTCCTGGCAGCAGCATGGGGGGGCGGTGGATGCAGCAGTATTCGGAAGCCAAACACAGGCTCTCGGTTAAAAAGCGGAAGCCGTCAGCAGCGTGAGCAGACGACAGAGGCACATGGCGCAGGGTGGCGGTGTAGGCAGCAGTATTCGGAAGCCATACACAGGCCTCGGTTAAAAAGCGGAAGCCGTCAGCAGCGTGAGCAGACGACAGAGGCACATGGCGCAGGGTGGCGGTGGAGGCAGCAGCAATGGAAGGCCATAAGCACCCTATCACAAAATGGAACCCACCAACAGTGTAAGGAGACCTGAAAGTGGCACATGGCGCAGGGTGGCGGTGGAGGCAGCAGCAATGGGAGGCCGTACAGGGACCCATGACACACTCTGGACCTGGCAGCAGCAAGAGGAGGCGGTACAGGGGCCATGGCAGAGTGGCGAAGCGTAAGCAGCTTAAATTGAAGGCCATACAGAGGCCTATGTTAAAAATAATAACATGTTTGGGGCATGATTCATGGCGGATTTAGTCAGTTGTGTCAGGAACTGGTGGTTTGAAATCCAGACTAATCCACGCCTGATTCATTTTCACAAACGTGAGTACACTTAAGGTGGACAGTCGTGTTCTCCGCGGAGTTACAATACCTCCTGCCGCACTAAACACGCGCTCCGATGCCACGCTACTGGCCGGGCATGACAGCCTTTCAAGGGCAAATTCAGCTAGTTGGGGCCAAAGGTCAAGTTTCGTTGCCCAGTAGTCAAGGGGATTGTCTACCTCGGTTGGCAGGGTGCTGTCCAAGTAGGCCCGAGCCTGTTGTTTGAGGTCCTGCTCCAGGTCCACCTGATGCTGCTGCTGCTGCTGGCTGGTTAGTAGTTTTCCTCACTGCGCTGGTGAAGAAAGCTACTCATCATCGACTGCAGACTGAGGCAGCCGCTGCTGGTGGAGCTGCCACTGCTCCTACCACCCCACCCCTCCCCTGCTGCCATGGCAGCGGAACGCGAGCGCACAGGGCCCACAGTGTCTGAGGATGGACGTTGGCGCAGAAAGGCAGAGACCAACTGACTACATAGGTGGTTTTTATAGTACTTTATTTTGGCCTCCCTCTCAGCAGGTGTGAAAAAGGCCACCATTTTTGAACGGTAGCGAGGGTCCAACAAGGTGGACAGCCAAAAGTCATCCCTCTGTCTGATGGTTATTATTTCGGCTGTCGCTACGCAAGCAACCGAGCATGCTATGGGCCATTTGTGCCAAGGAATGCGAGGGACTCCCTGCCTCCATCTCCACAGCATACTGCCACGGTGCGCCTGGGTCCTCTGTCTCCTCCTCCTCCTCTACCAGATGCTCCTGCTCCTCCACTCCTGTCCGCTGAGTGGAAAAACCACCCATTTCACTCAATAATTCCTGAGCACCAATGTCCTCCTCTACCTCCTCCTCTTCTTCCTGTCCTGCCCCCCACAGGGGTCATGTGGCGTTGAGATCTGTGCGCCACGTCTACCGCACCCTGACCAGCCATTGTTAACAGCATTTGTTCCAGGACGTGCAACAGAGGAATGACGTCGTTCATCCCATAGTCCTGCCGACTCACGAATAGCGTGGCCTCCTCAAAGGGCCTGAGCAGCAAGCGGCAGGTGTCACGCATGAGCTGCCAATGGCTGACATCTAAGTTACACAGGGGAGTACCTTTATCCGCTTGTAACATCAGGAAATCGGTGATGGCCTTTCGCTGTTCGTAAAGGCGGTCTAACATATGTAGGGTTGAATTCCACCTTGTTGCAACGTCGCAGATCAGGCGATGCTGTGGAATTCCGTTCTGCCGCTGCAGCTCAAGGAGGGTGTGCTTTGCGGTGTAGGAATGGCTGAAATGCATGCAAAGTTTACGTGACATTTTAAGGATGTCTTGCAGTGGGATGGTGGATTTTAGGAACCGCTTGACAACCAGATTGAACACGTGAGCCATGCATGGCGCATGGCACAACCTTCCTTGACGCAGAGCAGACACCATGTTCTTTCCGTTGTCGGTCAACATGGTTCCGATTTTCAGTTTGCGCGGAGACAGCCATCTGTCGATTTCTCTGTTCATTACACTCAGAAGTTCCTCCCCTGTGTGACTACGTTCGCCAAGGCATACCAGGTGCAGCACAGCGTGACACCGTTGCGCCCTGCACATGTGATATGCCGGTCGGGTAATGGGACTTGGCACGGGGGTGGCGGCTGAGGACACGGCGGAAGAAGAGGTGGTAGAGGCGGACATCTTTGCGGACCAAGGACGTGCAAACGTGGAGGAAAAAGCGGCGTGACCTGTCCAAGTTGCTGGTGCGGCTGTGCCGGCACCACGTTCACCCAGTGGGCCGTAAATTACATGTACTGTCCCTGACCGTAGTTACAGCTCCACACGTCGGCGCTGCCGTGCACTTTGGCAGAGACCGACATGCTCAAAGACTGGCCCACCATCTCTTCTACATGTGTGAATGCAGGGCTGGCACTGCCTTTTTGGCGAAGAAATGCCGGCTTGGCACTCTCCACCGCGGCTCGGCACAAGCCATCATTTCTCGGAAAGGTGCTGAGTCCACCACTTGGAAAGGGAGGGACTGCAGCACCAGCAACTTGGACAGGAGGACGTTCAGCTTCTGCACCGTCGGGTGCGTGCTCGCAAACTGTTGTCTCTTGGAAACGGATTCCAAGAAAGACTGCTGACGGAATCCGTGAAGAGGAGTAGCAGGAGAAGGAGCATCTGAACGAGCGGAAGATGCCAACGAGCGACAACTCCCCTCAGCAGAGGTGTTGGAGCCTTGACTGGCTGATAGAGGGCGATTGACGTCGGGTGACGGAGCAAGTAACGGAGCGGGTGATGGAGCAGGGGCTGGGGCAGGCAGAACTGCCGTATCTTTATCACGGTTTTCCCAGGCCACCGAATGGCGACGCTGCATATGCTGACGCAACGCTGTAGTCCCAACATGGGCCCCCTGGCCACGCTTGACTTTCTGGCCACATAGTCGACATACGGCTACGTTTACTTCCTCGGGCGGCTTGACGAAAAATTGCCACACCGCCGAGTAGGAAACTTACTCCTCACTGGCTGACTGCTACTTCCTCGTGCACACCGGCACCACTACTGGCCATGATGGTAGGCTGCAGTGGAGCTGGTGCTCTACTCCGTGGCCGTTTGCCTCCACTGACACTGCTGCGACCCTGCTGCCTCCTGGGCAACCCACCGACTGTTTTGCTCGCTGGCAAGCTGGCACCCTCTTCTCTGATGATGCGGAAGCAATAGCCTGATGACAACGAGGCTGCCAAGTGCGATCAGCCTCATCATCATCAATTAGGGTCTTCGCGTCACTACTAGCCCCCTCGGCTGCGTGTGGTCAGGAGACAGACCTGTCTCTAGACCGGCTACCGAGCCACTCTCCTCGCCAGTACTTCTTCGCCTGGCTGCTGAAGAGGCGGATGTCTCCCCCCGTTCCTGACCGCCCTCTGTTAGCTCTTCCTCACTGTACAGTGGGGCTGAGGCCACAGCATGCGATACTTCGCTTGGTGAGGGAACACCAAAGGACAGGGGCAGGTAAGGACACGTGATTTCAGTGGGCTTGCTCCCGGGCCATGCCAACTAACGGTTGTGTCTGACGTACCCACCGACCGTTGGCTGTAGGTGTCAGAGGTGACCTGGGAAGAGGAAGACGACCGAGTCAACCAATCGATGACGGCAGGGTTTGTCGGTGGAGACACGACCGCTGGATGACAACCGGGAGCACTGGCCTCTGGCTGCGACTAGTGCTGCCCATCGACCCCCTCCTCTGCTGCCACGTCTGCTCGCTCCTGAAACATTGCCTCCTCTGCCACTCCTCTGCGTGTTGTCTGACATACTCTTTAATTCAATAAGCACCCCAAACATAAAACAGGATTTAACTCTTTGAACGTACAATAGTGGTTGTGAAGCAGAAAGTAACGATTCTGTGTCCCTGAGTAACGATTCTGTGTCCCTGAGTAACGATTCTGTGTCCCTCAGTAACGATTCTGTGTCCCTGAGTAACGATTCTGTGTCCCTGAGTAACGATTCTGTGTCCCTGAGTAACAATTCTGTGTCCCTGAGTAACGATTCTGTGTCCTGAGTAACGATTCTGTGTCCTGAGTAACGATTCTGTGTCCCTGAGTAACGATTCTGTGGCCCTAAAGTCTCTGTTGCCCTAACTCTGTCCCTAATACAGACAGGTCTGTCTCTCTTTGAATGACCGGAGGCTAATGGAGAATTCTAAGATGGCCGCGATTTATAGCTCCACCATTACACAGTGCTGGCTGTGGCTGCTGATTGGCTAATGCGATCACATGTCATGAATGAATGCATTATGGGTCAGCGCGCCTTGTCTGCGCGCCTTCCCAGAGATCCCCGCTCCGTCGCCACACGTTGCCGCAAGCCATTTTTGGGAAAATTCGATTCGTGCATCCGAAGTTTGCTAATTTTCGGATTCGGCGCGAATCGAATTTTTCCTGATCTTCGAAACGAATTCCACTTCGCCATGTTCGATTCGCTCATCTCTAATTAACATCTGTCAAAACGGATGTAAACGGACAAAAAAAACAATGGACAAAAAATAGATGTAAACAGACCAATGATCCATTTTTGCATTGGTAAAGGATGTAAAAAAAACCATGGATGTAAACTGATGAAAAATACGGATGTGAACTGATCCGTTTTTTCTTGGAAAAAACGTGACTGAACTGATGAAAAAAAAAAACGGAATGTTTCTGTGAAAGGACCCTTTCTCTTGAACCAACCTGAGTGTCAGGGAGATCACCTATCACATTAAAGAACTAGCAAGAAGACTGTGAAGGCAGGGGGGTCAGGGCCTAGCTTAACATTTTCAGGGAAGGTAAAGGGGATCGGGAGTAAGCTGGATGTCTCTTCCTGAGAGCTGAGAAATCTATATTAAATATCAAGATTTGCCTATATTTGTAGCTGCCTATATTTTTGGATTAGTTAATTATCTTGTAGTTCGCTTTTTGCTGAGGTAAACAGGACAGTTACAGGATGTGTCTGTACAAAGACACCCATACTTACATAAACACATACCCCCGCTCACAGAAAAAAGTACATTCCCAACACAGGTTTGACAAAAAGCTGAATCCCAACCAGCTGCACATGTGAAGATATTGTTTTTATGTTTTTTCTTTGTCTTTGCTACATAAATCCAAGTGAAGTTTAGTGAAAAAATATGACTGTAAGCCTAGTGCCGCTGCATAATCCGGTATCTTTCAGTATGTTTAGTAGTGCATTTTATGCATTTTTATGGTGCATTTTAATGCTTCATGCATTTTATTTGTAGGAGGAGACTGGTTGTTAAACACAAACCCTGCCATAAATGCACCAAAAATGCATGTATTTTTCATGTGCTCCCATTGAAGTCTATAGGGCCAAAAATACAGTATGCTGCACCAAAAGAAGCATCTTTATCTTTTAAAAAAATTGCTCTGCACCATGTTGCACTGATGTGGACAAACACCATAGAGAATAGTGAAGTCTATTTGCAGAGCATGTTTGTACATTATGGCAGACCTAACTGCCAAAGTGCTCCCCTCCAATGCTGCAATAGCTACGGTGTTCCTAGTTGCTAGACATTGTTGCCCAGTCTTCTTCCAGGTCCAGTCTCTTCAGTCATCTTGAATGGTCAGTGAGGGATGATGTAACTCCCATACATGTGCATGAGAGTTAATTCATACTGCCACCCAGCTGGTGCTGGAAATCTGCACATGCAGAGTGGCACATGCACAGTTAGATGTACATTTAGAAACAACATTACTGGTTGGCAAGTAGGATGACTTTTTAAATTGTATTGCAGAAAAGACTCCATGGGGAGATTTACTAAAACCGGTGCACTCAAAATCAAATACATCTGTGCATGGTAGTCAATCAGCTCCTACCTTCAGCTTGTTCAGGTAAGCTTTGACAATAAAACTTGGAAGCTGATTAGTTTCTATGCAGAGCTGCACCAGATTCTGCATGCTCCAGTTTTAGTAAATCTCCTCCACAGGGTCTTTTCTACAATAAAAAATGGCATGCCAATAACAGTAGTTTAGTTTCACTTGAGCAGCAGTTGAGGATCAGGTTGAGGTTACTTGTAGCATACACTGTTACATAGGATTCAAGTCAGATAAATCAAACATTGCCATTCACATCTGTCAGAATGCTTCACACAGTAATGTCAGAATCAAATAGCAAATGCCCACGTATACTAGCCCCAAGGGTGCATTTTGAGAGTAAGTAAAACATTTTTAATTATTTTTAGAGTTAATTTATTTTTAGTGCCTTATTACTATCTGTGTCCGCACTGGGGGGGATTCACCCTTCTATTTATCCTGGTGACCATTATCAAGACAAAAAAGTAAAGAGAAATCTAAATTTTCGAGTTGTCACCAGTGCAAGGGGTGAAAGGTTTTCTTCTAATGGGAAAACATGTTCTGGGGACAACTGCCTAAGATGGAAACCCCCTCACTTTGGGAAGATTTCCTCTCATTTCTTCTGGTGACTTCAGAACACAACAGTGACACAAAAAATGATCAGTGGTATTGACTCTTCCCTACTTCTCTACTCTGTCCAAAATGTATTGTAAATGTTTTTTAGGTTAATGGACGAAAGTTTGAAAGGAGACCTTGTAAAAACACAAGAACTTCCTCATATGGTTGTCATGGTGAGCAAGAACCAAATCGGTCATTTGCTGGCCTGGCAGTTTCTAAAGAAGAATTGGGATGAGCTCACTCAGAAGTAAGAATCTTGTAGTATGAATACACATTGTCTCATCTGTGCATTTCTACTATGTTCACACAATCATCTTCTGCCTGATTCTAGGTTTGAGCTTGGATCGCGCACTCTTGGTGATATGGTCGTTGGGATTACGCGTCTTTTTTCCACAGGAGATTGGCTGGAAGAGGTTCTAGTATATTTTCATTTTTACCTTGCTGTCATTAATAATCAAAATTACAGTGCAAAAAAAATGGAAATGCCTCATTTATTTGTGACCCTAAGGCCCCTGATGCAATGCGGGACGTGTGCAATATTGCACTTGTTCCAGCAGAGTATTAAAGTGCGCTATGTTGTCATATATGGCACCCTAACACACCAGCCAGTGCAAGTGTGCTAAATTGCACCTCAATGCATATTAACATATTGCCATGTACTGTAGTGTGATGACACTGGGCTGCCCTAAATACACAAAGCCCCACATGCACCGTCATACCTGTATGAATGAAGCCTCATGCAGCTTATGAGCTTCCCCTGATAAAAAAATTCACAATAAGTTTTGCTTTATTTCCCGAATACTGGTATGCTCTGGTGTTGCAGCAGAGCCTCAAAAACAATGGTTCTCTGCAAGAAGTGCCGTATTTCACCGGTTGGACTTTGTCTGCTGAGTACTGTAGACGACAGGGGCTGTGAACAGTCAGGACCCTTACACATCACTACAAAGAGGGGGCCAACTAGAATAGGGTATTTTAATTTGTTCTCTTTGAAAATCTTTTAAATCATTTTTTCTGATGGATCTGATATTGCAGAGTAGGCCAGTTAAAGTGGAACTAAAGTCTCAGCATTAAAGACTGCCAGCAGGTTAACTGTTTATTACATTCACTGTCTCTTCTGCAGTAAAATAAACCTACCTCACTGTTCTCGGTCTTTTTTAGAATCTACAGTGAGCGGCACAAGCACAGCTCAGTTTACATTCTAGCACAGATCCTGTGTGCTGGGATGGCATCACTCCTGCACATGTGCAGGAATGACATCATCCCGCACTGGCCTATGAAGACTGCCACAGCCTGGCACCCAGAAGAAACAAGGTAGAAGATGGAGCATCGGCTAGGGATGTCAGGCCAGATCAATACTATTACCCTAATTAATGTTCCCACTACAGGCTGCTGAGGTAGGAGGGCCACAAATTATATGCTAAAGGGCTGCATGTGGTCCTCAGGCCACAGGTTGGCACCAGGGGGTTTGAAAAACACAGTGCTCCACCTTAACCTCCCTAGCGGTATTCCCGAGTGTAGCTCGGGGTAGAGTTTGAGTGCCAAAAGCGGTAACCCCCCAGCTACATTCGGGCTTACCATGCGGCGTTGCACATGGATTCACTGCAGCACTTACCTTGTCCTTCGCTCCTGCAATGCGTCCCCTGCAGCATCCCCGGCCATCTCCTCCGGCCGATGCCGGCTTCCGTGTTCCGGTCCCTGTGACGTCGGGACGTACGGGCGCCGGAACCCGCGGCAAATTTGAAAATTTAAAAAAATGACTTTTTTTTTTAAACGATTATTACATAGTAAAACATTGCTGTTTCAAAGCATTTCACATACATTTTGTCCCTCCCTAGTGCTTTGTCCTGTGCCCTGCCTGCATTTTGACTGTTCTTTCTGCCTGGAAACTTAGAAATGTCCATGGCGTCCAAAAAGCGTCCCTTTATGTCAAAAGCGGGTTTAGATCAGCTAGAGAACAGCGATAGTAAATCAGAACCACTTGCAGAATTGAGTGATGATTCGCGGGGAAATTCATCATCAGACACTGAAAACAATTTTGCGACTTTGCTCAGCGATGTGCGAACTTGGCGCTATATTTCAAATGTCAGTGTTTTTGGTTTGATATTATTGAATTAAATTTATTATTATTATATTGTTATTTTTTTATGATTATTTATTAAATTATAATTTATGATTTCGTGTTTCAAGTTTTATCATATCCGGAATGTTTACTAGACTCTTGTTCGGACAGATTTCAGTGAGTTATTCCTAAATTACAGGCCTACAATAAAAAAACTACATATTTCCATGCAAAAAAATGGTACCGCTTTCAGCACCAAAAATCTGAAATAATCATACCGCTAGGGAGGTTAACTTAGTGTTCCTCCACCTAAAAATATATATGGATGGCCGCTCACCTCATACCATGGACTCGTAAATTAATACAGGTCAACCAAGCATGGTAATTCTAAAACGATGCTCTAGATGACAGCAGAGAGCTGATGACAGGCACCCCTTCAATGACAGTATAAATGGGACTTTTCTCAGCTTACCCCCACATATAGAAAGAACAGAGGACATCTCCCATAATGTAATACTGTTTTAATTCCACATAAAATAATTCCAGAGTGTCACTCACATGTCATGTCATGTACACAGCTTTGTATTCCCATTGTCAATTCATACACCTTTTTCTGGCTCGCTAGATTTTTGTGAACGCTCTTAATTTTCTGTATCTTTTAGCATTTTGACCTAACACTTCTTGCTTGTTATTTTTGTTTGCCAGGTGACAGAATTTTTTGATTTGTTGAAAGAAAATGGCTCTCAACTGCGGTGTGTTCAACAAGCCAAAGAGACTATTGAGGAGAACATTCGGTGGATGGACAAAAACTTAGATCTTGTTAAAACGTGGCTGGAGGATAACAGTTAATGAATGTTTAATCAAGGAATTAGTTTAATAAAGTCTGTCATTTGGGGTGATTTAAAAGTAATGAAAAACATATTGGCTATGTAGAACAATAAAGAGCAATCTTTATAATTGCTGAATTTTGGAATACTGACATTTTTTTTCTCTGATCGAAGGATGTAGCTGAGTTATTTTAGGTCCTTTTGTGACAGACCAAGGCCGAATGATCATAAAGTGATGTTTTTGACATTATTCATTGGAATAGTTGGTTGTATGTAACTCAGCCCTGTGCCTCTGTGACAACTGATTGTACCTGACTGAGCATTTTTTGCTTTACTCTTCCAGCAGCTTGATGCCTCTTTGGTGCCATCTGTCAAATTAATCTATCAAAATGATTACCCAAGGGTTTTCCATGCGAAAATTCTTACTGACAGAGTGCAATAAGGAAGACCGAAGATATGTCTGATTGAAAAATATATTGTATAACTGTATGCTGTTAATACATAGAATGACAGTATTCAGTTTACAAATTCCCTTATTTTAAAAACCTTTATGTATATTAAAGTGATTGTAAAGTTTCCCTTTTAATTAAAATAACAAACATGCCCCGATTCTCCACTTCTCGGGTTCCCTGCCAGTGTTCCTGGCTCCTCCTCCCCACTGGGTGCCCCCATAGGAAGCTGCTTCCTATGGGGCCCACTTGTGGGGGCTTGCTCCTAGGCCGAGCTGTTTGCAGGGGGCAAGGCCAAATTGGGCTGTGAGTCTGAATAGATGCAGACAGGTTTCGACCTACAGCAGCAGGAGTTGATGGCTTCCGCTACTCTCAGCAAAGCCTGTGAGAGCCAGGAAAGGGGAGAAGAGCTGCTGCAGACATGCACAGCGCTGGAACGAGATCATGCTCAGGTGAGTATTTAGGGGGGGGGGGGGGGGCTGCAGGGGATACATTCAGCTAATAAAAAATCTTTTACCTTTACAACCACTTGAGCCACTTCAAGTCCGGACACTTTTACCCCCTTCCTGTCCAGGACAATTTTTAGCTTTCAGCGCTATCACACTTTGAATGACAATTGCGCGGTCATGCAACACTGTACCCATATGAATTTTTTAGCTTTTTTTTTTTAGACAGATAAAACTTTATTTTGGTGGTATTTATTCAGCACTGGGATTTTTATTTTTTTTGCTATGTAAATAAAAATGTCTAAAAATTTTGAAAAAAAGTGTTTTTCTTATAACATTTTGCAAGTAAATCTTTATTCATAAATCTTCAGCAAAATTTATTCACTTATCTTTTTAGTAAAAAAAACAAAAACATTAGTTTATAACCAAAAAATTATAATTTAAAAAAAAAGTTTTATTTTATATTATTATTTGTGGGTTTTTTTTAAACATACTGTTACCCTAGCAGTACAGTGTCACCATGGTGACACTGTACTACTTGTGGGGGGGTGATGAAGATTTTTTTTTTTTACACTGATTGCTTTTACACCCATAAAGGCTGTAAAAGCAATCATTTCTTTCTCTCTGGCTGCATTCTTTCAGCCATTGAGAAATACTGTAAGAGCTGCGATTGGTCACAGCTTGTCACATGGTACAAGGCTGTTGTGAATAACCGTGTACCACGTGACCTCTGTGATCATTCACAGATTTCACACGTAGTAAGCAATGATGTCAGAAGTGACATCTTGTTTACTACTATTCATGTGATCACTGATTGGCCAATCAGTGATCACATGATCGGGACCTCACACAGAGGCTCCGTACAGCGATCAGTGTTTCGCTGTGTCCTCTGTAGAAGTCCGCTGGGTAAGCTGAAGAACTAGCTCCCCATCATGTCTAAACCCCCCTTGTGATTGGCAGCAGGCAGATTCCATAGGCAATAGACAACTTGCTATTGGCTACAAAATTTGCCCACTGCCTGCTGTCAGTCATTTATTTGGACCCCTTCCTTCTCTCACCTCTTTTTCCTATCACTCAGGCTAAGATCAGAGAACTTAAAAAAAATGTATAGTGGTTTTATGCATAGATTAAAAAAAACAAAGAAAAAACGAAAAAAACAGTGAGTGACAGAACTCACCTATAGCTACCAAACACTGTGTATTGAGTCTTCTGTGTAATAAACTGTCAAATTTGTTAGTGATTTTTTTCTGGTAAGGAAATATTTAAAACATTGTTTTGATAATGCAAATGGTTGATGTCTCTAATTAATTCTTCAATGTGGTATTAAAGTGGAACACCAGCTAAACTTTGTCACCTCCCTTCAAAACATGGACACAGGCACCAATGAGAACCCTTCTCTCTAACAAAAATGAAAAAAAAAATGGCTTTAGTTCCACTTTAATGACATCATCTTTGGTAAGCTGCGATGCCATTCGTGATACTATTATGTGCATTCTGTTAGGACTGTTTGTAATAACAAGACAGAAGCTTATATTAGGGCAGGGGTGGGCAACTGTGGCCCTCCAGCTGTTGTAGAACTACAAGTCCCATGAGGCATTGGAAAACTGACAGTTACAAGCATGACTCCCAAAGGCAGAGGCATGATGGGACTTGTAATTCACCAACAGCTGGAGGGCCACAGTTGCCCACCCCTGTACTAGGGTATTTTTTTTTATTGGCAGGTTAAGGAAAATACATTTTAGGAATTTTTTTGATTTGTACTTTTGTACATCATAGCCCTTAGTCTATTATTACATACTACTCATATTTTACTGCAAATGTAAGACAAGCTATACATGTAAAGATTTCTTTTTTTCAGCCTGTGTGCTGAATAAGAGAAATGTTAATAGATTTCTTCATCCATGTTAAAGAGCATTGATGAAGAACCCTTCCCTGACGACTATTGCATTCTGATATCTGAATGGATGTAGTCACTGTTTGGCTGACAATTTTCACCAAGCTCTTTCAACAAAAGTTGACTGCAAAATTGACTTTTGTTGAGCAGAGTGGAGCTGAGAGGACAATCGACTGATGAATTTTGGTCAATTTAGCAGGAATTTGCCACATTTGAGCAGTGTTTGGCAGGCTTAACTGGAGAGACTTAATTTCATGCTAACACATCATAGACTTGCACTGGGTACTGATATTTTAGGACAACAACCTGAATACATCCTACTTTCATTTGGATGCAAAGGTTCTGGAGACTGAAAGCGTCTGTAGTACAATCTGATTTTGTTATCTATATAGCATACTGCTTCTTCCTTTCTTGTTTGTAGTGCCCTACCGAGCATTGTTGTCTTGCATGGTTATTGATCAGAATAAAATCTATAGTATTAAAGAGACTGTAAAATATGCATTTAAATGCCTGCCATTGAGATAGATCCAGTAATATGGAGTAATCACAGTAGGGCTATATGTAGTAATACAAGGCAAAGGTCAATGATTTGAAACTGGCCGCATGAATACTGTAGCCGCCTTCAGTCATTGAATTAAAGAAAAGCTTTACATTAAGATAATATGAAAACAGTTTCCAGAAAAGAAAAAATGTGTTGTGTTTTTTAATAACCATTTTAAATGTGTATAAATGTATAGTTTTCTATTATTTTTATGAAACATGTTTTCTTGCACTAAATAAATGTCAGCACACTGGACTTGTATATTATTATTATACAGGATTTATATAGCGCCAACATATGAATGCAGGATTTAAAGAAAACAAAACAGACTTGATCTAAAAACCAGTGCAAAGAATATTCAGGGTACAGACAGGAATTATGTGCAGTCAGATCAGTGAGAGATGGGTCCTGATTGGCTGCAAGAAGTTACTATGCTCTACATATTTTGATTTGAAAAACAGGAAGCTGACTTATAGAAAGCGCAAAAGGCTTTGATCTTAAGGTGTTAGTGTAGTGTAGTGTGTACTGCATGACAACATCCCCCATCTGCATCCAACAAGCCTGGCAATGTAAAGATCACAGATGCAGCAAAAACGTGATGCCCACTTGCATGGCATGGCTGTGTGTTTACAAGCTTCTCTGGAGAAGCAGGTTTTGGCAGTAGTGGAGTATAATGCCAGGCCCGTTTGCCCAAGGTTCCCTTTAACATCCCAGACAACAACTTGTATTTTTTAGTACAGCATTTAGTTGCAAAGATCAATGCTTCTACTTTGTATTTTCTTTAGTGTTCATATGTAAAGACACAGGCTAACCATTTCCAGTGTGTTGAAATATTGGAATGAATGTACAGAAAAAGGAGGAAAGGAAAGGCTGGAACCAGTTGTGGTAGACACATATTGTGTTGGTTTTTACTTGTACTGCAGCATTCTAAGCTGCCTTGTGATCGGCTGACCAACAACTTTATAATCCTTTCCTCCAATATTTATATGGCACTATACTGTTTTAGAATACCTAAAAGTTGTTTTATTTCCCTTTCTGTGTGCTTTTTTGTTATGCAACTTACAAATAAAAAAATGCTTTGATGAAAATTTTAAGTGTTCTGGTCATAGTGGTACATGGAAATGACTGTAAAAACATATAAGATCTATATAAAAGATGTCTGCTGGGCTGAATCATGCGAGGACCTGATTGGTAAGTCTTCCCACCAATCTCCTCCTGCTCTTCCCGCCCACCAACAGTCTCGAAGGGTCTGCCACAGAAGGGGTGAATCCTGGGCTTCCAAGTCCCTATGGCATGGTTTGTCATGTCAAGTGCATGAAAAATTGAGCAGGAAAAGTGAGATTCCCTCGAAATGGAAGCAGCAGGTATACTGGTTTGGGAAGGAAGATGAAGTTTTTTTGCTTTTCTACCAGAGACCTCAAGAGAAAAAAAACAAGACTTGAAATAGCTTCCACATAAAATAAATTTTGGCTGAGTGGCAATACTAAGACATTTCTGTACAATAACACGCCGCCCAGCACTTCCTTTTCTCACTATACAATCCACTCCTGCACAGATTTCGGTTACAACAAATAAGCACTCCAATAACCAGCATTTTGTTACAAGAACAATCACTTAAAGTGGTATTAAACCCAAAACCACTTTGAATGACAATTGTGCGGTCATGCAAGATTGTACCCATATGAAATTTGT